GTTTAGAGGATAAATGACAGTCTGAAGAATGTTGTTTGCAGGAGATTGCTATTGCGAAGAAGATAATTGGGATAATTAGAAAATTCTTGGCTACGGTTCATATATGTAGGTGTACAAAGAAGTTGGAAGAAGTATTGATTGTAAAAGTATCTGAACATATTAGTTATTTAGTGTAGTTCATCTAAAATTATGGAGAGTGTATATCAGGATATTTTATGAAAAATAAGAATGATGGTCCAGTAGTTTGAAAGTAAAATAAATTATACATCCTAACAGTTAGATACTTTAGGTAATTGTATATATAGTCCCTCTATGTCTTCTTTTTAAAAATGGTTAAATGAGATAGTAAAATTTAGAGTTCCTAGATGTCTGCATAGGAGGAAGAATTAAATGGTTTGATGGAGAGTCGTTAATTAAAATTTATGATGCTAAAGTATAGTTTGAACCTCACTGTGTGGTAGGTTGGCTACAAGAACAAAGGAAGATTTTAGAAAAGAGTTTGTTATCAAAGAAGCTTCCCAGAAAATAAATAGTAACTGTAAGTATAACTAACAGTAACTATAAGTAATGAATATCAATGAATTAATAAAAGTAAAGATACTGGTAAGGATACATTAGTAAGAGTTTCTTGAATAATAATAAAAATTTAATAATTAGAAAATCCTAAAAGTTTTGTTAATATATTTCATAAAAATTCAAGATTAATAATTTTATGAATATTTACTTTAGATTTGAAAGAAGTACAAGTATAGGAACATACCAAAGGAAGTCGATGAACAAAGGACACGAACAGAAAAGTGAATGAACTTCGCGTGTCAACAACACCAGAAACCGCTCAAAGTTTGCTATCATAGTTCGTTGAACGAGGAACGGCCGAGGAAGACGAAAAGAAGTCAGCGCTTACGTAAACGCGCTTTCGTTTGTTTTTCAAATATGCACCGGCTCGATCCTGATTCAGCACGGAAGAGCATGTGGCTTCTACCAGTTCACTGCGATCCGTCTCGCTGATATAATCAACCAGTAGAAACTCGACTTTTCACTCGAAGAAAGCAATATAACAATTATTACCTAAATTCTAAAGTTTCGATAATCATTCGACCAAAGAAAGTTTTGAAAGATCGGTCAAGTTTTACGATTTCGGAACACGAAAATGCGACACTTTCACAAAAAGTCTGAAAATTTGAGAATTGAAAAATATGGAGAATTAAACGTTCTCTAATCTAGAATGTGTGAAGATTTAAAGATTTGGAACTTCGAAATTGTGGTAATTCGATAATTTCAATGATTGGTAACAGAGATTTGAAAATATGAAAATTAGAAGGATTGAAATTTTGAAAACTTGAACACTTGATAATTTAGAAATTAAAGAATTTGAAAGCGCGAACAATGAAAAATCTTAAAATTTCTAAACGAAAGCATGGATATTAATTCCAGAATTAATATTTTGAATTTCGTTAAAAAAGATATTATTTGAATATTGATATCGAAGTTAACGCATCGGTTAACAAGAACGAAGCGTTTACTTTTGAACATCGATGAATGAAAATTAATACTCCATGGTAAAGGCGGCAACAGAAACGTAATCGTGGCGGGTTATATCGAGTCCCAGCTGTTCACCTCCGCCAAGCATAATCCATTCCCTGACTTTCCTCGTTCTACAGTTACTCCAGGGTGAAAGGTGAACCATCTCCCTTCCCCTCGAACCCGTACTGACAGGAGGATCCGCGACTATACTTGTCAGAACCGATTACAACATCGTGGCTCTCCCTGTTTTCTACCACGTTCTTCGAGAATGAATCCTTGAAAAAGCTGATTCACTAGACCACAGGAGGGTTGCTGTTTTATACTCAATAAAATCCTACTAATTATAGTGTGACATGGTTCGGAGTTACTCTGATCTGTTATTTATAAAGAAATAGTTGTATATTTTTAGTTTTTAACACTAGAGCTACCGATAATTAAAACGAAGTTAGTTAAGAAGATAGTTAAGCTATTTCTACCAAAAAACAGTCAAAATGACTGGTTTTTAAAAAATACGTAGTAATAAAATATTCTTATATTTATTGATTTATTACTATCTTATAAAAGGAATTCCATATTACGCAGTACATTTTTGGTATTACTAATCCATCTGGGACTATGATCTGGAATTTTTTAATTTGCAAATTTTCAAATCTTTTTCCTTGAAGTTCGTCAGTATTTCCACGTGTCATGCTTACACAGCGTCACCTGCATCACCCGCCTTCGGGAGCGACCAGGCTGTGATGTCAATGTAGCGTTATCAGCAGCCAGTGCATCAATCAATGGATCAAAATCTTAAATTTCTAAATTACTAACCGTCCAAAGTTTTTAATTTCTTAATTGCCAAGCAATTGGGAGTTTCATAATTATTAATCTGTCAAACATCTAAATTGCCAATTATGAATTTTCATAAATATAAATTGTAAAAGAAATTAAGCTGAGTATTGGAAGAAGAATAACTGATGCTCCAAGGATAGTACAGTGATCGTCATTATCCGAAAACGAGCAAATTTCGTCAGCAAATATCGTAGAATAAGGCCAAGGAAAATAAGAGATCGACGAACAAAGAGAATCACTCGCTTACTGGAATCGTATCTAATCTTAATCATTATTCTATTCGCATATTCCTGTTTATTATTTTCCCGTGCCCTCGCTGCCAGTCACCAACACGAAAGTGACATCATATTCTGTTCACGAACCAGTTCTCATTGACTTTAATACCAGCTCTCTATGGTGGAGGTCTGGAAGATGGTCGTCAGGTGCGGTCATAACCTCGCAATGGGTTCGCAGACACGTGTACTAGTCTTTTGAGCTCTGACATAAGTTCTAAATAAAAAATTGCAGAGGCGTTTATATTTCCGTTGAAAACTTGACGTTAATAGGGTTAAAAAGGAGAAAAACTCGGTCGAACACGTGAGAAACAATGGATCCTTCGTTTTGTTTGGAAGTTGCGAGGCTGTTTGTGTGCAGTGCACGCTACACCGAGCAGAAAGTTCAGTCTCCATTACATAAGAGAATAGCCGGTCCTCTTTATCTTTTTCCTCTCTCGAGTCCATCGTCGACGTTGAATCACCATAGGCGTCTAGACGAACTTAATTAAACCCAGACACATAACACACTCTATAGATTTTTGCCACAGATAATAATGTATCAACATCAAGTTCATGTTAATTTAAATCAACGATATGATAATATTCCAGCATTGATTTTCTGATGAAGCTTATAAATGAAGATTCAAACTCTACGGGCAAACGAATTTTAATTTATATAACCTAAACTTTGAAAGTAGATCCTCCTAAATCTCTTTATCCATAAATTAATAATAAATTAAATAATATTAATTCAAAATTAATAAACAAATCTTGATTTACGTAACTTGAACTTTAAAGAAATGGATCTTCTTAAGTATCATATACGCCAATCTCTATAGGCAAAGATTTTGCAAGTCTGGAAAGCCAAACATCAGCTTTCCAAAGCAAAGTTCATGCAGGGACATCTATGAAACCCCGGAAGGGTTGGCAAACCAGTTTTGTGACAACGGTGTAGCGTTTATCGATTATCTTCTTAACCTACGTGTTTCACAGGTTGTCTGTCTTGTATAATTGCTATCGATGCTCGCACCATCTAACCATCTTTTCGGTTATTTCTATCATTGATATATGTATGTAAATACGTTCTCACGTTTCTTTTTGGAGGTTAGATAACATTGGAGAGTTGGAGGCAACACGCGGGCGTTATAATGTCCCATCGAGAAAGCAGCCACCCACAAAAGAAAATCTGCCGTGTAATAAAAGGTAACGGTGCCTGGAAATAATAGAGTACCATATATCAACAGAAGGCGCCTGTATACTTTGTAATTTCACGTTACACGCAGTCGTACGTTTTCCTCCGCTATATTTCATTTTCTTTATCCTTCGTTTTCTTTCCTTGACAATTTTTTTATAATGTTGTTTTTAAAATATGATTTTATAGTTTATAAATCTATGCAATAATTAACTATCGGTTATTAATTACTGATTGTCTATAATTTACATACTTTTTGTAAAATGATTTTACCAATCAAGTAGTTTTATAATAATTTTCTAATCATTTTCATTAATGATATATGAATATAAGCAATGAAAGAAGATAAGCAATGTTGCAATAATTTTTTAATGTCAAATGTGAGTATATTTTTTAAATAATTTTACTGTCGCCGTAAACGTTGTTGTAATAATTTTGTAATGATTTCGTTAGAGTTGTATAGTTGTTGTATAAAAGATTATTTTTATATCTAGGATTCATAGTTAGTCGAATGTCTGATTGCAATTTTGTTAGAATGAGTAACGAAGTAATGGAAAACAAAGATGTCACTACTTCCGAAAGGTAGTTTCGTGACAACTTCCTGCTCATCGCGATGTTGCTCAAGAAACGTCGGAAATAAGGTTGGAAAATCGTGTTCCTGCCATCCAAGCATCGACCAATGAAGTTTTTTCTGATGCAACAATCATTGCGACATGATCATCAACGAAGATAACTATAAAATACGTGTGGGAGCGTTTCCATTATTATAATATTTTTCCTTGATTTTTTGTTGTATAAACTTTCCACTGTACCTTTTCAATAATTACTTGTTAAACTCTGCTAAACAGTGTTGTAAGACAGGTACATAGATATCAGAAAAGAATTAACTTGGGCCCTTATTCAATACGAAACAAAGAATTATATTGTCGCGGATTTCTTTCAACAATTATTTAATTGGAATATTTTTTATTTCGTTATCCTTGTTGCATTACTGTCATTAAATTTTGTGATAGAAATGCAATTAAATTAAGATTAATATAATATAATGTAATATAAATTACGAGAAATATGATTCAAACAATATACGTGAACTTTTGCCTCATATTTTCAATTATATAAACTTTAATTTTTCAGTGAATTATTATTGACTTAATTATATTAAAATCAATAACAGCACTTTTTTCTTTTTAATGCTTTTTACAAAAATGTAGATGGTTACAAATTTGGTGCTCCTCTATTTATACATTATTTGAATAATATTTATATACCTTTCTGTTTTATTTATGTAGAGCCAATAACAGATTTGTAAATAATTGCATTAACAGCAAAAGTAACGCATTATTCATGAAATAAGGAGGGCCGTAATAAGCCCCGGAGAGAAACTCTCCATTCACGATGCATGCTCTTTTCCAAAGCCAACGATTTAATGCTGGCGTCCTCGATTTGACGGGAAAGAACAATACTGCGAAGAAAAATGTGCATTTGCAATACACACTCTTAAAAGATATGATACTGGTGAGGCGAAGCAACGATCCACAACCTGGTTGCTAATTAATTAAACACTCTAACGTCACTAGTCTTATAGAACAATAAGAAAATAAGAGGTGATCGAATCTGCAATATTTACACAAATTAATATATTTAACGAAAGAAGACTACTTTGTTTAAAGGTAAAAATTATTGTTAAAACAATTCAGATACAATTCCTTAAAGTAAAAAGATAGAATGTATAATAATTTCCTTCCAATTAACAATTATATGTTTCTATCTTTTTTTTCAGCTAGTAAGGAAAAGCAGCGCCACAATTTTTTTTTTAATAAACAAAACTACAAGAAATATTGTTAATTGGAGATTAATTGAAGATCAGAGAGCTTCTGAAACGCGGCAGTACCTTTGGAAAGATGTCCGACAAAAATCCACGGAGATCGTTAAGTTACCTTACAGGCCGATTCAAGGACAGACAAGTATCATCAGGATTGCGAGTCATCCTGCTTGTTCTTTATACTCTTTTTTTTCTCCTTTTTCCTTGGACTCCGGCGTCCTTCCGTGCCGGGCGCTCTTCTTTGCTCGATACTCGTTTAAAACTCGTTTTTAAAACCATACACGAAAGTTTATTAATTTCATTTATACCGACTTATAATTGGAGATTAGAATCTATATTATTAGATCCTGATTCGATTAGATTTTCTTATGGTAAATCAAAGTTTTAAATATTCTTCTAATCTTCTTATAGGTTTGGAAATTTGCAAAAATTAGGTTAAGATTAAAAATAATTGATGTAATTATTGATGTAAAAGTTCTTTATCCTTATGAAGATTAATTAAATTCTGTGTAATTTATTGTGTCAGTTTAATTGCGTTTAATGAAAGTTTAATGCCAGGAGAGGAATTTCTCTGCTAGGCTCTACATCTGAGAATCCCCATTTATAGGAACTCTTCTATAGTCTTCCATATATAGACATAACCTTTTTTCAGAAAGGAAGAAAAATTATGGAAGATTTTGTTTCAAATGTTGGGGTGTTTCTAAGAAATAATGTCTTTTTATGCCACAAAATATGCGAAATATCTTTTCTTAATTCTATATATAATTTCTGTAGAACAGCATAGAGATTTCATTGGATTATATTAATTAGTATAGCTATAAAATTATAAAAAGAAATTTACATAACCTATAATCTAATAATTCACTAATCATTATAATACTGTCAATTAATAAATTATTGTGCAACAGGTGGAGAATGTGAAAAGAATGGTGAGAAATACAGTAATTTATAGTTTGGAAAGTGAATGACGCGATAATTCAACTCCTGTGAAGAGGTAGAAGAATGAAGTTGAAAAAGTCAGGCACAAACTTCTTGATGAAGGAAGTTGTTTGCGGTCGAATGAATCGGACCTTGGCAAGAGAAGTCCAGACAGTGCGGTGCTGGAAACAGCTCAAAGGAGTCCGCGGCACGTCGACAAGACGTCCCCTTTGTGGGATACCGTTCGACCACCGAGCAAGTAACGAGATTTCAGTTCGTGGAACTCGCCATAACGACCCCGCCTCTCGTTTGTCCAGAAATTCATTCACTAATTCTCCTCTTACCTTCTGCTGTCACAACATTGATCTGTTTCTTGATTAAATATCACCAACGAATCTTTGTAGTAGACAAAAAGTATATTATAATGAGAGATGATCAGTAGCTGAGAGGTTAGAATCCTATACCTAGGGGAAGATACATCTTCACGCATTTGTGAAGTAATATGTAATAAGAAGTTACACCGTAAATTGTATAGAATTAAGTGTACGTTCATCACATTGCTAAAATGGGACGTGAAAAAGCATTTAGAAGAGGGCAGAACGTATTGTTTCAGTGAGAAGAGGTTAGGAGGTTGTTTACTCGAACCGAGTTCGATCCCCCAATTGTTTGGCGGAGAGCGTGTATCGATCGAATAGTTCGAGGAGTCAAGCGCTCGCACGTGTCCGCACCTTTTTCTTTCTTTGCAGACATTGGATACTGTATACGCTGGATGCTGCGCGAAACCGTTATGCAACCTGCAGCGTATAAGTGGTCTTTGCTCGTCCAGATTCCCGTTGCCCTGTCTCCGCATCGTTTTCATCATTACAAAATAGCTATGGAAAATTATAACCTACTCATCCAAAACTACAAGTTCTCCTCTTATTAATTATTAATTACGAATTTACCTTAATTAGGAATGAGATAAAAGTTATAAGAATTAATTTAAAAAAATAGAAGAAATGAAAAATTGACTAGGTTATATATTTTCAGGATGGATAAAAACAGTATAGCATTGGAAATAAACAACGTTGTGCAATCATTCTTGACGACTGGATCGACTACGACAAAACCACATTTTACTGCTTGTTTAGCCTTCGCATTTTTCAATACCAGTTCTTTGTACCCACGTAATTGAAATATATATGTATGTAGTTGCAATTTAATTTCAGATTGGGAAGTTTCATTTCCACTTCTCCAATGTCATTTAGCTGTTACAGCTATATAAAACCATGGTTATTCACATCACGAAGACATCTCCCTGTTTCCCGTGTTCTATAACGTTTTGAAGCAATCGTATAGCTCACTTCAGAAGCGACGTTCATTGTTTTCTCTGTATTATGCTTCACTGTCTCAACGCGTTTTGAATTCTTCCATACAATTCAAACTCAATATATGTACTTTTTTCAAATGTTCTGCTTAAAACAATGATCCATCCACTATTGAACTCGAAAACGCCATCTACATCAGTAAGTATTCGTTTGAATTACTTCTTTGTATGAGGCTACATATATTTAATAACTTTGTCAAACTATCTGGGAAACGAATTTTAAAATTTTGTAGATTAAAAATTGAAAATTTTGAATTTTTGGAAATTCGACGGTTGTCGAATAAAATATCTCTCTAACTTTACTTGTACTTTGTACCATTTTTTAATTTAAGGTTATATACAGGTACATTGTAAAGCGGATAATGTCACGAGGTATTTAAGGCGACAGGCCCACGAGTTACCGTCGGCGTCATCGACCACCATGATCCCGTGTTTAGTCTCTGGCTCCATTTCCTTCTCCCTTTCGGCCACTTTCCTTCTTGTCTCTCCTCGCCCCCAGCCACTCCCTTATTCGCTTTCAAGTTCTCTTCTCTTCTTTTGTTTCTCTCCCCCTTTTCTTCTCGCTGCACTTGTATTTTTTCTTCTCTCTTGCGTTGTTTTAGTGTTGAATATTTAATCGTTTAATCTCTCTTAATTACTACTTCAAATATTTTAGATATTTCTTTACATTCTAGTCTCGAATCGCAGTGTAATAATTATTATGGAAGTCACAGCAATAAGTCTTAACAAGCAATATTTTTTAAAAAAGATTAGCTCTAAAAAAATGTCTGTTCACCATATTTTTCGTTCTTTGAACAAATGTTTCTTGCTCTACCCATTTCTTCCTACTCCTCTAATCTATTTATGACCGATTTCAATTCATCCTCTCTCTTCATCTTTAACCTCCAATATATCTTCCTCCTTGTGGAATCGTGTTCCCCATGAAAGAAGAAGAATGGAAAGCTGTGACGCGATTTACGACCCTGTTTACAGCTTCCGGAAGAAGCATATCGACCTCACGCACGCACTAGGTAAGATTAGTTACCCTAAGCGCTAAAAAAAGCGCGTAACATCGGTGATCCTTCCAGATGACGAAAAATGGACGCAAATTGGGGTCAGGAGGAGTGGCATCACATGTCCAAGGTGTGCATCAGGTAACCATGAACGCGTTTATCGTCCTTTAAAAGAGATTCGAGCGTCGTGTGGACACTAGCAGAGATGAAGTCAACTGAGAGAGGGGTTTCCTCACCCAAGGTGATCCGGTATAAAAGCGAGAGGCCATCAAGAGCGAGAAGACCACCTGACGAATCCTCACGCATAAAAAGAAACAGGATAAAAAAAGTCAAACTTTATTGATCAGAAAAAGACAGTTAGCATTGGATCACGACCATATTTAATATCATACAAAGTTCCCCTGGATCATCATACATGATATTCCAATAATCATGGATACCTTATATAATAAATACATAAAGGAATAAAAATCTGTGACTAGAAGAAAAAACACAAGAAACACCATTTGGTTTGAATTTCGAGATTATGATGGACAGAAAAATGTAATTAACGAAGAAGACGCGCAGATTCTTTGATGAAGCGCTTTTTTAATTAAGGTTCGAGTGCGTCATCGCTTCCAGATGATTTAACGAACATTTTTTTGGCCAAACAGAGCTGATGTTCTAGGTTGTTCACCCCGATGGCTACTAAATTAATTCTGGCGATGACATTATCCGCACCCCCGCGTCCCCAGCCGTTGAAGCGGTGCCAGTGACTCATTGTCAATGACTTTCCATCAATTTCCGCCTCGTTTCGTTTACCATGGGGAAGCCACAGAATCGCGAGTCATGGTTTTATTATCAAGCATCAGTTTAATTCCTGTTCCTCCTTAACAAAGGTTCTCCTTTTTTGTTTACAGTGAATCTAACTTTACTTTAGGGATTCTAATTCTCAAATTAATTGTTTTTAGAGTAATTATAGAAGGATTAAATAGAAGTATTAGTAATAATAATAGAATTAGTCCAGAGAAATGATTGTTAAGTGAGTAACCAAGTTTAAAAAGGCCTCGTTTTCTATCAATACGAAACTGGAGACCAAAATAAGTTAGGCCTTGAGGGTTTGACTATACATAGCCTGGTATATACCTCATGTACAGGGTCAAGTCAAAGCGGCGTTGTCTTGGAGGCGACTTTACGATGCAAATACACGTCGCCGCGATTTGTACAATTTTCTCTTGTTTGGCTAGGGAGCCGGACGCTGGCGCCGTGACGCTGCATTCGTTTCTGGCACGAAAATAGTCAGCAGTCGACGGAGAAGGATAAAGGCGGCTCAGTCGAATGAAAGACTAGCCTGAAGGCGACAGACGGACAAAACAACAAGTTAAGGGGAGAAAATCGAAGTAAACGCTTCGTCAAACCGAGTTCTCGCTGCCCTTTCCTCCTTTTACCAGCCATATTCTAAAAATAGTTCCGCCATGTGAGCAGGGAAAGTGCGTCCTTGGGTCTTCGGAGAACAAAGATTGCAATTGGCCAATCTGAAGGAAACCTAATCGAAGTATTAGATTATTATCGATTCTAACTTCATTTCAATTTTTTAAAGATGATACATTGAAATTTCAAGTTACAATATTTGGGAAAATATATTTCTTATGAAATCTAGGCAGTAGGCAATTAGATATTTAATCTTAAATTTTTTCAAATATAAGCATAGTGTCAAATGGAGTCAGAAAGTAGCGATTTTCTAATTTAGTAATTGCCTGTTAAAGAAACTCACTGGCTTGTATTACCACACGATGGTAATTGGAGATTACGTGGACGTTGCATGAAATTTCACGGGGAAAAACATAATTCGGCCTAAATGGATCAAAGTATAACAGAAAGAACCGTGTAATTACAACGCTGCGCGAAAATGTGTGTACAGAGGCGAGGATAGCCGGTTATCCTGGAGGCAGTCAGTGGAACAAAGAGAAACTACCGGACACATAGAGCGTCTTGGGCAACCGGCTTGGTGATTTCGTAACTCCCCGCGCCGCCGCAAACTGTATCACATGAGAGAAGTTTGATCCCCGATACAACATACAACGTTTGCTGGAATTATGGCGTATAATTAGAGAACAAAAGAGAGACAGGTATAACTTAAAGTATAGTAGGTTACGCGTAAATGAAGATCTTAGGATAGGATTTTTGCTCATTTTTTATTTGAATGTCACTTTATGATTGAAGAGATTGAATGCTGGAAATACGGTATATAATTAGAGAATAAAATAGGGACACTTATAACGTGAAATGAAGCACAGGGTATTGAATATAAAGAAGCGATTCTTCAGAATTTTCAATGAGTAATGGCGGCAAGATTGATTGACTCTGTCAAATGAACTATTGAATGGCGCTTTTTTCTAAAGAATCCTCGTTGTTTACAGTGACGCATCGAAAAAACTGCGTTAATTGATCGAAAGCATCTCGATGAACGGAGGAGAAATCGTCAAGAGTCGAATGGATGGAACGAAATCATTGTAGCACTGCGGAATCGATTCTTTGCTTGTTGGGCAATCGACAATCTGCAACCTGGAACAATTGTTTCCACTCTCGTTCCGCGTTCAATCGATTAAAAAAAGGTAATTTCCATCAAATTGTAATTATGCAGTTATATGATTGTTAGTTATTACATAATACATGCAATGTAGTTATTGTAAAAATATTATAATTCCTATACAATCTGCTAAGAATTCTAAATTTGGAAATTTGAAAATCTTACAGTTTGAGAATTGGAAAAAGATAATTTGAGCGTTTAAAAATTGCAGAATCTTGAACTTGGAGAATTTTTAATTTGGAAATTACAGAACTGTGAATTTTAAATGTAGAAATTTCAGAACTGGGAAATCTTTAATTTGGAATTCTGAAAGTTCGAAATCCGAGGAACTAACAATATAAAAGTCCAGATTTAATGACGCCTACAAGTTTTCCATTTTATCAATGACGACCAGCGTTGTCAATTAGTTCGAATTTGTACGCACATAGGATCGATTATAACTGACGACAATCACCATGAATAATTATAACCTCAAACAAGGGTCGTACACTGAAGTTCATGGAGGATCGATCAGAAATTCTTAATGGGGTGCGGGTCAATAAACAGCCAGATGTGTTTAATGCCATGCAAAAGACGTCCATTATTGATTACCATTAACAAAGATGGCGCGTGGTAATTAAACTCGCCCTAGGGACGCGTGGATCAACACTCTGAATTACCTACAACCCGTGAAGTGACATTCACCATGAGAGCCTTGCGTGTCACATTATCACAGGATTATTGGATTCTCGTTCAAGTGTAAAACTGGTAACAAAAATAACTAAAGATAATTTAGAATGAAAAACACAGAGGTGTTATTAAAGGTCAATTACAAGGACTGAAAGTTATGGTTAACCTAAAATTAATGTTCACATTGACCTGATCAGTGGCCTTTAAGTTGTTTAAAACGTTTCTTCCGGAAGAAAAGCGTAACGTGAGACAGATGGTCCATTTGACCTTTGTTCATCTTCTCCCTTCAAGATAAGTTAGGTTAACTCTGGAAGTATAGCAAGTTAGATACATCAAATTGTATAGAGCGGAACATCTTTGAATTTCAAGCTTCCTCCAAAGTAAATTAGCCCATAACAATGGCTGGAAGTCGACGGAGCGTGTGTGCACTCTTCCAGGTCAAAGTTCACGCTCGGTTGAACTCCAAACATAAAGAAAACGAGGATATCTGCATCTCCAACATTATATGCTATAAATGTTCCCAAAAGACATAACCGGGATAAGAATTAATATTGTCAAAATTATTTTAGATTCACTATCCAATTTTATCCTAACCAAAAAGTTCATGAATCAAAAAAATATGATAAAAAATGACTGATCTATAAAAATTACGAAGTTCAGACATGTCTCTGCTATTTCACGGTTCATTTTACATCCAATCCACGTCCAAATATCCAAACCTCAAAAAGACTAAAATAAGAAACAAAGAACCATCGAAAGTAATTGGCCAGTCAAAAGTACAAGAATCAGACACGTTTTTGGCATTTCACGGTCCCGTTGTTCGACTCGTATTAATTACCATTGCCATAAATTACCATGTTATGAGAAGAGACGAAAAGAAGTTTCTTGCTTTGTCGGTCCAGCATCATTAGGGTCGGCTCCCCACTTGATCTGTTCCCCACCTAGAATTCCTGTTCTATTTCACACGAGTGACACGTAGCACGGAGAAAGACGCATTAGGGTCGAACGGAAACGGATATTAGAAAACGTCGGATTCGAGACTGTTTTTCCGCGACATCGCGATGACGACAACATCGAGATCTGACGAATAGACGTCGATGAAACGGCGACATCATCGAAGACGACCTCGATTCCATCAAGGATAAGGTCTCTAGAGGGAGATCCCGGGAGAGCTCCCCGATTACTTTCGCCATTCTAAACGCGCTCGAATTTCTAAGATATTCCAGCGTACATATTGCGTTCGACGCGATCGACGCTGCGGAGAAATTCGTGGGAACACGCTTGCCACGAGCCGCGATTTCGCGGCTTCTCCACGGGTTTCAAGAGCTACCGAGGTTTGCGTTTTATTATTTCTTGCTATGGCTAAGGTTTTCCTTGGGTATTTTGTATCAGAAATAAAGAAGACTGTTATTTTAAATTTCAGAAGTTGAAAGATACGAAAATTGGAAAATTTTATATTTGGAATCTCAAAAATTGTGATGGCTTGAAGATTGCAAAATGTTTAATTGAGAATTTTGATATGTTGACGCATTGAAAATTCTGTAAAATTCTAAACTTAAAATTTTGATCATTTTGTTGCTTTAGAATTTGGAAACTTGACGCTTTAAAAAAATGAAGAAATAAAAGTTTGACACTATGAAAATTGGAAAATTAAGACGTCGGACTTTTGCAAAAACCAAAAATTCGCTACTCCATATACGAGCATTTTGGCAGAGAGACCAATGAAGTGAAGAGCGCATTAATCGATCCGATATTCCTGAACTATAATTACTCGGGTAGTAAGGTTAATTAGCCGCAGGTCAGTTTACTTGCAGAAACCGGTCTACGGTTGCACAATTTCAATTGATCCATTGAACCTTGACACAGTATATGTGGTTTTGCTTTCCAGGTGTAGCAAGGTGCATGTATATTTAATAAGATAAGAATTGTGGCGCGCCGCTTGTTCCAGACGCTTGCTGATGTCATCTATTCAAATATCCGCGTGTTACAAACAACTAAATATATACTCTCAAAACAGTCAGAACATTTTACCAAAATCATACTAAATTTCTTCAAACCTTATAAACTCCACTAATTTCTCTCTATTTTATTGCAGTTAAAAAAGAACAGAAGTACCCAAAAAGAAGGAGTCAAAGAGTCAACAATACTCAATAACCAAAAACAACACAAAGAAATCTTAAAAGACTCACCGTAGATGACATCCAACTTCAATCACCAAATTCTTCTAAAGTATGATTTATTTTATTTTGAAATATTTTTCAGTCACTGTCAAAAATTACAAGGTTTCAAATATGTTTTGCTCAAGAGAAGCCACCAACACAAAATCCGTGATCACGAGCGTGCAGAGGCTCGCTCGGGACTGAAGAATACAGGATATAGCGAACAGCACGTCAATGAAAGAACGCCGGCATCACCGCCGCTCATTCGAGCTTCTCCTGCACGTGCGCGTGCAACACGCACGCGTACACACGCTCCAAAGCGTGGATGGCTGCGTAGGGTCTGCCCTTCTCTCTCCGAACCCTTTTCAACATGATATTGTGGTATCGATTCACTGAGACGCCGGCTGGATGTTTCAACGCTTTTGTGTGGAAGCTGCAAATTTTTTAGATCGAGCGCGCTATGATGGATAGACTCGATTATAATGGAATTCTGAAACAATCTTTGAAGTTATGATTGATGGCTGGTATTGATTTAAAATCTGTTTTATTGTGAGAGTGAATAGGAATTTTATCTAGAATGAAATGGGCGATTTCGATTTATTATTGGATTGTTTGAAGATAAGCTATAATTAGTATTGTTGATTCATTGGGGATTACAAAGTTTAGATTAGATTTCAGTTGAGTTATTTAAGTAATGCACTTTTTGTTTTGTCATTCTCTCTATAGTAACAAGTTTTGAGTTTTAGTTACCTATTTCTTTGGACTTTTTTCCTCGATCAGCTTTATTACACAAAATACAGAATAGAACTAAAGTAAAATAGTTTGTAGTTAAATAACTTTGTATAAACTATTGTGAATCACTTCTAGCGCAAGAATCAAATTCAAATATAATTTCATTGTTAATTTGAAACTTTCTTTGAGTCGGCCCTTGTACTCCCAATTGTAATTATCCATTAAATTGCATTGGAATCGCCTAAGCTAAAGTAACAATGAACATGGGATCACTTCCAAGACAAATTTATTTCACAAAACTGGTACAATAATACGAAGCAAAAGTCGACGCACAACCATCACAGAGGAAGTATAATACACAGTACACAATACTGCGCGGAACAACACCGTTCACTCTGGCACGGTAGAAAAATCACGTTGCACGTGCCTGGTCGGTTCTTGTCATGAGGTTCGTAGAAACGACCGGTCACCTGCTCTTAATCGTTGCTCTCTGTAACTGGCGAATCGTCTGAAACAGGATTATTTCGTTAAAACTTTCGAATGTGGATGTCGTCGACCGAAAAACTTCCTCCGGCAAAGGGGAATCCCGTTTGGCTTGTTTCCTCGTAAGCCATTTCTATTGTCTTTCCATTGTTTTCTACGCGTTTGTACTTCCTACCGGTCGATACTGTCTTTCTTACTATTTTTTGTTGTACTACACAATGGTGCGCCGTGAAAAATTGTTATGTAAACGTGTACTTATTTTAGATTAGGAATGTAATAGTAACTTTGGAAAAATTTGATGAGAAATGGCTACTATTCAGTTTTAATTGTAAATAATGTTTATTTAGATTAGAAATTTACCAGAAAAGTTATGTAATTTTTCTTAGACCGATTTCTACTAAAATAATATGGTTTTTGTGAGGAGGATTTAACGCAATGGTATTGTATATTTTAATTTTATGGTGAATAATAGATTTTGTGTAGAGATTACACGTATTGGTACTTCGGAATTTTTCTCTTTTTTATATAGGCAAAGAAATATAAATGAAACATATACCCTCTTTGCATCCTCCAGGCTGGCAGGAATATATTTTGAGTTCACTGTCTGTGCTAAACTACTGTAATCCCTGTAAAGAATGTATTGATCCTTCAGGCACTGCTTTATCATTAGTATTCTTTTCTGTAATTCGGCAAGCCCACCTTTGGCTTTAAATATTGAATCCTCCTCATCTGTTATTACGAAAAAAAGATACATGAATTAAGGGAAATAGAAATGGATGAATTAAAAGAAATAATCTACCAGGCTTTACAAATGCTGCGATTTTTGGAAATTCAAGAGGTTTGAAGACGGATAATTTAGACGACGTCATGCCTGGACCAAATTCTAATCGCGTGCCTTCCAGCTCCAGCAAGTAATTACGGATGTCCTCGCGTTCTTGTTGCAGTCTGAGTATTGCTGCGTGCTTCCGCAGATTATGCATTTGTCTGCATTCGAATCTCGAGTGCTTTCCCTCTACTTTGTTACAATTCGGTGATTTTCGATTTTTCGATGACCTCGAAACTTTCTTACACTTAGTCTTCTTCTGTTTAACTCTTTGATCACAATTAGTCTCCTTGCCCTATAAAGATTCACAATTTTTTACATGTTAAAGAAATATTAAAAGTACGAAATTGTCCAAAAATTTCTTCTCTAAAATATTTACCATCTTAGATTTTTCTAGAGATGAAGCGTCACTGTCATAATCTACAGCATCTACAACTGGAAGCTTCGCTATAGTTCCACAATTTTTACAAGGTCTAGGTTTATTTAGGCTACTTAAAGCTTCTACTGGGGTTTGAACCCTACTTCTCCTAACTATGGCATTAATTGCATCTTTATTCAATTTTCTTAAAGTACAGGTAACATCAGACTGTTTTGGAGTCTCTCTTAGAAGTTTCTCTTCACTGAAATTCGTTTTCGAACTGCCATCTTCTATCTTAGTTCCTGACCTTCCAGTTTCTATTCTGTTAATAAATTCTCCTCTGCCGTACTCGGTCGGTAAGGAAGTTTCCTTCGGATCCTTTTCACTTTTTCTAAAACAATACAGGAGATACACACGGTAAAGTAATTTATTTCTTCAATTATAGGGGATCGAAGATAACAGAATTGCTTCTTACGTGGATGTCATGGACTCTTGGCTGTTTTCCTTACGTTCTGTTAATCTTTCGTGTTCAGAAGTCGAGTCAGTTTTCTCCTCTATGTTTTCATTGGGCAACTTCCGGTACTTTTTTCGACGAACGTGCCTCCGCGTTGGAGTTACTTGTTTAGGTAGCTTCAGAAGATTGATCGGCCCTGCTTCCTCCATGTTCTCCGTTCTCTTCACGTAATTCGATAATTCCTCGTCGAGACCAATATCACACTCGCTGGTACTGTGCATTATTTTTGGCGCGATCAACTCCACGATTTCTTTGTCTCTGAGAAATGAACATAATTCTAAATATTATAATGTACCTTCGACTCAAGATATTTTCTAAAAAGAAAAATATTAAAAAAAACACAGGAATCTCTATTTTAATAACCTGTCTTCGTCGACCACCGTCTTCTGAACATTCTCTGTCTGCCTGTGTGGAGTAATCTTAATATGTTTCACCCCAGAAATTACAGTATCCTCTACCGAGCTCTTCTCCAGCTTCTGTTCGACAGAACTGGATGATTCAATGGAACTAGAAGCTTCTTCGAAAGTGTCATCTTCGTATCTAGTCTTCTGTTCTTCTTTGAAGGAAATCTTCTCCATGGAAATGTCCTTGTTCATCGTGTTTGATTGTTCAGAGGTGATTTCGCTTTTTTCTTCGATTAGCCTGATAACTTCTTCTATCGTCGTTTCTTTATTATCGCTATTCGATAACGGGACATTGTCCTCAGCCATCGTCACTTCTGGTTCGTACGATTTTTCATCGCTTTTTTTAGAGGAAGTCTCGTTCACGGATTTAACTGCTTCTGAAATTGTTTCAGAAACATCTGAACGCCTGGAAAACGCTGTAGCGATAGAAGAATTATCATTGTTCCTTGGGGAACCTCGAGATCCTATCGTGGGAATTTTAACCTTATCTTTGGAATTCGTATCCAGGTTTGAGAGACTCTCAGGAAATTCTTTCAACCTTGAACCTTTACTTTCTTCTTCTATCTCAATACTTTCGATTATGGATCTCATTTTAGGGGATGTCTTTGAAGACTTATTCAAGGTCACACTGTCACTGATTGAGGATTCATCATCTTTTATGTTGTTGAATGGAATCTTAATCTCCATCTTGGATTTAGAAAATGCCTAAATAAGCATTGAATATAGTTAAATAAAATAAATTTTCCAATTCGTCAAGAATAAAACATTATTAAAGATTAATTTACAAAAGTATCGATTCGAAAAAAATATAGATGTGATATCAATAATATAAAAAATAATTCTCTTTCCTTATAAATACCTCCTATCATAATAAATGATAATAAATATGATATAAATATCATATAAATATCATAATAAATGATCTTGAAATCTTGCGCAAGTTATTTAAAATTATTCAGCAAAACTGGTCAATACCTTGGATCTAAATTCCGTCTCTGCATTAGGTGTTGATACAGCTGAACTATCTTCTTTGTCATTTAAGATCTTAGATTTGACTTGCAAACTTCTAGATGGACTTTCCAGAGAACTTTCAGTGCTGACGTTACTCTGAACTCTCGTGCCCTCGTTACGTTTTATATTATACTTCTTGTCTATCTCCTTCAACCTCAACAGAGCAGCTGTTGCCTTCGAGTGCAACATTTTTCCCTTTTTTTAATTTTTTCTGTTTTCTTGCAGGTCCACCGACTTCTCTGATCTGATTGGACCTCACTGGCTTTACTTGTAGATTTTGTGGCAGTTCGACCAAAGCGAAGTGCGCCTGCTACAAGCCGTTACCAAGGAAACAAATCGGTATACAATATGTTCTGAAACCCGATACATCGTTCGGAGCTGTTCCTCCAGGTGATAAGTGGTTGCATCAGAATCAGGATCAGAATCTCTATTCGACCAGTTGGTTTATCGTGACACCTGTAAATCGTTAAAATTTCTACATGGACAAATAGAAACATAGAATAAAACGTGAGGGAAGGCTGTGTCTGTTTTATCGACGACTTCATGTTTACTGTGTAAATATGCCGGTCAAGTTTCATTGTCAGACCTACATTTGCTAGCGATTACATAATTTTCCGATCGAGAGTGTGCATGATAAGCGGTTATTCGTTATCTATCTACTGTTGTATTTTACAGCTTAATACAGCAAATTTTTAACAATACTATGGAATTCTTTTGATTTAATCATCAACATAAAGCTCTAAAAGAACAATTAACATTGATTAATAGTAATGAAAATTCCATACGTGTAGTAATCTTTATTTAAAATTTTTCAATCTTTAATACAATTATTCATTAATTTCGTTAATGTTATAATAATTGTAAGAGAAATTTGGCCCATTTTTTAGAAACATCCAGACAGACCTATAAAGGGCCCTATAGTACCACAATGTACCATGTGGAGTTGACTAAATGACTCTTGCATGTCACTTTGAGGATGGGCGCACCAGCCCCCAAGAAGTTTGCCCAGACAGCACTCTCGCGAAAGATCTTTTTTGATGACGAGGCCAATTTTCACCTGCCCTTGTAAAACGACGAAACACTTTCCCCAATCAGCTTTTCATTGTCAAGCCTGTGACACCTTTTTGCCTATAAAGGCTATGTTATATGAATCTCTTACATAATTTTAATCTATACCTATATTCTGGTTTATTAATCATGACAAAATCAAAAAACAATCCAATGTTGTATACATATATTTAAAACAAATGTATCAAAAGAAATTCATGAAAGTCAGTCCTATTTGAATATTGCTTCAAATAATGGCCATCAGCAGGTCGACCAATAAGAACGTTTCACTGAATCATTATCCCATATCCTCTACTATATCGACAATAGATAAAATGAGGTAATCAGTGACGTGAAGTATGTGCGTGCGGCATGACTATAAACTGCCACGGCGCGGCGCCTTGTTGGTTGAGCGTGGTCAGCTTTGATTGGTGCTCGCGTTTCAGCCAATCAGCATCCTCCATCTGTCTACCCCAACAGCCGCTAACTCACCAACCACGTCCACGATTCGAGCATTATCGGCTAGTTCGTCGTAGAGTAAGCATCCTCGTCGACCGGACTTTCGTTGTCCCGGCGTCTGAAAATGCGATTCTTCAGCTCAATTTTCCTTCTGTTGGCGGTTACGATCGTCACCGCGGAAGTCTACTTTGAGGAAAAGTTCCTCGACGGTGAGTAAACACGCATCCAGACATTTTCCGTCGTAATTTCATTCTTATTCTGTAACTCCATTTCGAAATGCAACTACCCAAACCAAAGATAATCTAGAACAATTAACGGAACTTCCCTACGTGTTTTCATAGGAAAAAACCACACCCATGTCTTTAATTAAGATAGTTGTGTAGTAGAGTGGAAAATTGATTTATCGGGGAGTACTTTCCAGAAAGATCTGCTAATAGATTCCAAGAGAGACCGAGCGGTGTATTTCTCCTTGGTAACCACACGCCCTTACCTCGATCGTTTCCGCAATACCGTGCTCTCTATATGTGCACACGGATTTCTACATAATTAATGCTAGATTTCATGATCAAGCGCCGTAGAATTGTTTACGATACCATATGCCACAGAGGAAAATCAAAGTCGCCGTAAACGTGGCATGAGAACCGTCTCGTGGCGAGGGCTATAAGCATACGTTGCATTTCGCCGACATGACGCGCAATCGATTGGTTGATCTGCGTTGAACGCTGAGAGCGATGCAATTATACAGGGTGTCCCAATAATTGTGATACGACCGACAAGAGGGTGATTCTATATAAAAAAAATATATCTAAAATATACAATAATTAAAAGTTTTCATACAGAGCTTTGTTCTTAATGAAAACGAATTTGAAAATATATTTTATATGTGTGAACTTAATTACCGATTGGATATGAATAAACAATCTATAGAATGTTTATTCTACATGTAATTTAAGTAAACAAGATGTAGAATTTTCAATTTTAGACCATTCAGTTTATGATTTTCAAGAAAATGTAGTTTGAACACGTTAATTAAATCCGGTACGTATTTAATAAATTTTTAAACTTAATTTCCTCGGAAACGGAACATCTTATAAAAAGATTTTATTTTGTAGTTTCGACTTATTTTCACATGTAGATTAACCTCCTGTTGATTATTCAATTCTGTCCAGTTCGGAATTAATCAAGTTCGGGTATATTTCACAAATTTTCAAATCCCATTTTCTCGAAAACGTAGCGTCCCATGACAAAATCGTATTCTATATTTTCGACTTACTTTTTCAAGAATAGAATCGTCCATTTCTCAATTGTGCCATGATTACTAGGTATTCTGTATATATTTATTGAGTTTGATTCGATCTTTAAATTGATTTCGTTGTAACATTATTTGTATGTATGATAATCAATATAGATATCGATTCTGTTCAAATACGACTAATAACTTTCAGATTACTATCTCTGGCGAAAGATAGTCGATTAAATTCGATGATATGAATTTGATAAAAATATTAAGATTTTCGAAATTGTTATTTATGTAATTATTAGATTTTGTTGCATAATAAATGATGCTTTTTCATGAGATCTTGTTTTAGATATTTAAAAATATAGAATATCTGATAATTGCTTTTGTTTGCAAATTATTTATTATGCAACAATTTATTCTTTATATAACATCTTGTGCTACAAAAATCTTAATGTTTTTATTCTAGAAAATTTCTTGCTGTAGATTGTTAAATTTGTACTTCATATTTCTTACATTAAAATCATGTAATCAAGGATTTATTTTGTTATAATAAGATTTTTAAAATCATTAGCATCAAATTAGTATTTTCATGAATAAATTTTTTACAGATTCCTGGGAAAAGAATTGGGTATATTCTGAACATCCTGGAAAGGAATTTGGAAAGTTTGTTTTAAGCCATGGAAAATTTTGGAATAATCCAGAAAATGATAAAGGTAAAGAAATTTTTGTATCTTATAGAGCATTTATATGAATTAAAAAACATGATTCTCTATATGTACGATTTAATAAAACAACTGATACAATAATTTCTCTTATTTGCAACAGGTATCCAAACATCTCAAGATGCCAGATTCTATGCCCTGAGCACGAAATTCAAACCATTCAGCAATAAAGACAAAACACTTGTTATTCAATTTACTGTTAAGCATGAACAAAATATCGATTGCGGCGGTGGATACGTAAAAGTATTTGATTGCTCGTTGGACCAAAAAGATATGCATGGTGAAAGTCCATATCAGATCATGTTTGGTAAGAATCTTTAACTATTTTAAAGAGATTTGAATAAGAAACCGAGCCTAGAGTCACTGGTTATGCCCTGTGGCATGCTGGTGCTAATGGATCTCGGAGAGCAAATTCTTACTTATGCCCTGAATATAGTAACCATACATATTTCAGGTACCTTTAAAGATACATTAACCATTTCATTAATTAAAGATGATTGATAAAACAATAAAATGTTAGATCTAGCGAATATTAAAAACGCTTATTAGGGTTACTTTCTCTCTTTGTTACAAAAATACATAATATGTATTATATGTATTTGGCAGGAATCCAATGAACATGATCATTGCTAAATGTGATGCTTCTTCACAGGACCTGATATTTGTGGACCGGGAACAAAGAAAGTTCATGTGATCTTCAGCTACAAGGGCAAAAATCTTCTGATTAACAAAGATATCCGCTGCAAGGACGATATATATACCAACTTGTATACTCTGATCGTTAAGCCTGACAACACATACAAAGTAAGGGAGTATAACTATAACATTAAGTTGTAGAAATATATATCGAGCCTAGAGTCACATGTTCTCATTGATTTACTGTGGAGAATAGGTGCTAGAGGATCTCGAAGAGCAATGATTATCTTGTTCGTAAAGTGTATATAAGTTAAGTTACTTATTTACGATAGTAGCAAAGAACGACATTTTCTGTGATTCATATATACGTATTTGTTGAAAAATGGTTAACTTTCCTTTTATTTAAATGTTTGTATTTGTTTCGTAGGTTTTAATCAACAATGAGGAGGTTGAATCGGGAGAATTGGAAGCAGATTGGGACTTCCTTCCACCGAAGAAGATCAGAGATCCGTCCCAGAGCAAACCTGAAGATTGGGATGACAATGCTACCATTCCTGACCCAGATGACCAAAAACCAGAGGACTGGGACAAACCCGAGCACATTCCTGATCCCGAGGCCACCAAACCCGAAGATTGGGATGATGAAATGGATGGAGAATGGGAAGCTCCAATGATTGATAATCCCGAATATAAGGTTAGTTGTACAAAATTATGTCTAAATAAATTAAATTCAGATTTATATTCACATAAATTAATTTCTCTGTATTTAGGGTGAATGGAAACCGAAACAAATTGATAATCCTAACTACAAAGGACCCTGGATCCACCCAGAGATTGACAATCCCGAATACACTCCTGACCCAGAATTGTACAAGAGGGACGAAATTTGCGCTATCGGTTTCGATCTCTGGCAAGTAAAATCTGGTACAATATTCGATAATGTCCTGATTACGGATGATCTTGAGGTCGCTCGTAAATTTGGGGAAGAAGTTTGGAAACCCACTATTGTAAGTATTAAAAAAAATTATATATAATTATTGGCAGAAATAATGATGTTAGAAGCGTTGCTGATTCTAATGAGCGATAAAAAAGCTGGAATTCCTCGTTGCTGAAGTTACATAATTATTATTAGGATTTTAAGTATCAGGTTACATAAATTTATTTGGCGATCATTTGCACGTTGTAGGAGGGTGAGAAAAAGATGAAAGAGGCTCAAGATGAGGAGGAAAGAAAACAGAGACAAAAGGAGACTAAAGAAAATGAAGATAATAAAGATGATGATGAGGATGAAGATGCGGATGAAGAGGACAATAATGTCCCTGATACTGAAGTAAGCTTCATTTAAAAAACATTAAAAACTGTTTCTTCTATTTAATTCTCATGATGATTCTATTTAGCTCTGATTTAAATTGATTGATAAAATGGCTGGAATTCTTCGTTGCTGAAAATGAGATGAAACAATTTCCACCATCTTAACATTTAACGCCGTATTACTAAAATTTGTCTTTCCATATTTTTCAGGAGCATGATGAATTGTAAATAATGTGTTGTGATGGACACGAACACAGACTGTATTCCAGGAGCTGTGTGGCCGCGACACGCACTAACTTTCCATAAGAACACATAAAAATCATAGCGATAAAAAAGAAAAACTAACCATTGCCATAAAATGAATCAGATCCCTTTCGATCGAATGAAATTCTACGGGGAAAAAGAAATATTTATTAAATTCGTGGACAATTTGAGTCAGTGTACCCATAAGAGTTCTCTCATTTTTTTCTAAAGAAACATGGCCTCATCTTCGTAACCTGAATTTTCAAACCTAGTCTTCAATCGTTCGGTCGTGTTCCATGAAATTCATCGATGTGAGGTTATTGTCCTGAACGTTGAGTGTCAAAAAAAAGAAATCAAAGTGCTCATTATGTGCTACCAGAATACATATGGTGTATATATATATATATATATCATATAGAGTCATCTTGCCCCGTGTCCTCCCCTCCCTATGGCACAGTTCCATGAAAGACTCTAAGTTGTTCCGTTTTTGTTTGTCAAGTGTTTTTATATACAATTGAAAGATAATTGAAATGTAATTTAATGATGCTATACTATATATATATATATAAATATATATATTATATATTATTTCAATTTCCGTACAGTGTACGCGCGTATTAAACATCTTGCTCCAGTTAAAATGTAAGAATGATTGGATGTATGCAGACATGACTGAATGAAATATAAATATAAATATGATTGGTATGATTATGTATTAAAAGCAAAACCAAGTAACCAATGTAATAAAATAAATAAGACTTTTCTAGACGTGCCCAGGCCGTTTATTTTCGCCTTTCGATTAATACGACTATTATCACATGATAGTTACATCATATCAAAGGCAATAAGCTAAACATAACTTCAAAACATTATCACAATTGTTAAATTAATTAAGAAAGATATACGCGGAATGTGCAATACGTAATTTATAAAACAAATTGCAGACTAATTAAGTATATAAATACAAAGTCTGAATTTTCTTCATTGTAATCTCATTCGTTCTATAAGGCATAGTCGCTACACATAAGTTTTATGATATAGTGGGTATGGTATATAAAGTTTCATGAGCACCCAATTGTTGGGTTAACCAATCAAGACCTTGTGTAGAACCACAAGCGTTTGTAAGTGAGGACGAGCCTTGTATATGCCATGCTCGGCCACAACATAATTTTTGCAAACACAGAATATCAGTTAATTCTTCGACACTGGCGCAACCAGCGAGGTCCTACAGAATTAAAAAGCAATAGATCAAAAACCCCATAGATAAAATTAATTAGAAATTTATCAATGGTTCATGTATAAAAAAATATTGTAAAAGATATCTCACTTGCTTATTGGCATATATCAGGAATAAAGCGTCTTTTAATTCGCGTTCATTTACAATTTTTGATAGTTCGTTCTGAGCCTCTTCGAATCTAGATCTATCACTGGCATCAACTACAAAGATTACTGCCTGTGTATTGTGATAGTAATGTTTCCATAGTGGCCTAAACTTCTGTTGTCCACCAACATCCCATAAAGTGAATACCAAATTTTTATACTCTAGACTTTCTACATTGAAGCCAATTGTAGAAATTGGCGGTCCGGAGAGCGTGATGCCTCTTATGGCTGATAGAATGCTTGTTTTTCCAGCACCGTCTAATCCTAAGATTACGACACGCATGTCAATCTTTGTGCCGATATGTACTCTGTTGTCCTGTAATTCCATTATGAATTATTGTGATGCTTCGACTTAATAATGTAAACACTTACACGGCTGAATATTATAGGTATAGAGGACTCGGGTGTGAGGAAGTCAGGGCCAAGTTGAGCATAATGTTGTTGTTGTTGTTCCAACGTAGTTAACACTTCTTTAACTTTCGTTGCGCTACTTAATAACTTCCAATCTTCAGAATCCAAAATACTTTCGCACTGAATGCACACATCAGCTACTTGAGACCTAGTGGTAGTTAAATCCTGTTGTTGCTGGCTTAAAGCACATAATCTCCCACGGGTTTCTGTTTCAATACAAGAGATGGCTGCATTTTCTTGTTCAGCCAATAGAGCTCTTAGTTCCTCAAAATGCTGACGTACTCTTTGTCTTGCATCTTCTATTGCCCATCCCTCTAGCTCTTGTATCACCGTTTCTAATAACAACAATCATAATAAAGATTTACTATGGATTTACTTATTGAATCTTTGCATTAACTACTGTTCAATAAAGAATTAAAATAAAATATGAAAGTGTTAGAATAATGAGAGCAAACATGCCTATTCTGTGTGCTGTATCTCTCATACTCTCCATAAATTGTGTCATTTTCTGCAGAGCAGTGACAATAGATTTTCTAATATTCTCTGCCTCAACTTCCACCAAAGCTAGCTACAATTAGAATAGACAGTAGAATATTGATCATCAATTACAAATTATGTTTGTTACCTTATGCGTACTATGTCTACCATAATCCTTGCACAAATAGCACATAAGGGAATTATGGCAACCTTCCTGAGTGCAAGTAAATTCTGCAACATGTGTTGTATGCACTGGACACTTTGGTTTGTCCTTCGGTTTCTCTGATAGAGTTACACGTTTATGTTTGCTTAAAGTCCTTGAAGAATGAATGGTACTATCACAATTCTCACACAAATGTGTCATACAAATTGTACAATATAATACTGCTGTATGAGTTTCATCTTCATCGCAAGTTTGATTAGATTGGAATCTCTCCCTTTCAAGTATAGATAGTTTCTCACTGTTGGACTGTTCTAATCTCTCTAGCAATTCTATTAGAGCAAAATTCTTTTTCAAGTTACAGACATTGTTCTGACTAATGCCTGTTGGCTGTCTATCAAAAGGACACAATAAGAACTGCTGATCTGTCATGCAAGGTCTCAATCGTAAAAGACATGAATGACATACTGTGTGACCACAGTGTAGTAATCTTGGTACTTTTATTCCATCGACAGTAAATACTTCTTCACAGACACGACATTCTAGTACCTAAAGATTGATATTTAAAACAAAATCAGAAATTTAAGATAGTTTATTTGGTTTGATTTATTAAATATGCTTGACTTACGTTGGTTCTTACAGTAGGTTTTAGAGTCTGTTTAAAGTATTTGCTCAGACGATCCAAGTTGTCAGTCATGATAATTTCTTTATTGAAATTAGATATATATGAGAAATTATTAATAGTTACAGAACAATGGGTATTAATGCAAGTACTCCACTTTTTAAGCAAGTTTTAGGTTAGAGAGTATTTTCATATATAAAACTGCATAAAATATTTGTTAGCTGTAATAATTCGAAAATATTTAAATCAGTAATAACAAATAACTTATAACAACTAATAATGTAATTTAATTTTTGTAAAATAAGTTTAGAAGCTTAAAATATTTTTGCATAACTTTTCCACGTGTTTTATCATTTAATTATACGATAAGAAATGATTGTTTTAGATGATTTCAAATAAGTAAAGTTTTATTTTTTACTAGATACAGTGCTGTCTTAATAATTAGATGCAGTTCAGACGAATTTCGTCAATTAACAAGACAGTCTATTCCAAGATCTTCTTGCATTCAAATTTATTAATTGATGATATTAGTAAATTAATAAGTTGCAAGTTATATGTTATAGATGTCTTTTCTATAATTTTATATATAATTCATATAATTTTATATTAAGATCATATTAGTTGACTTCTAATTCATAAAATTGACTTCCAAAGCTTCATTCGTTACATAAAAGAATTTATTATGTAAAATTGTACTATAGTTGTAAAATTTCACTGATAATATTTATTCAATTCAATAATGCAACATGAGAAGGCCCAAAAATTCTATTTCAGCTTGAAATATTTAGTAATATTACAATTTTAGGGCAGATTTACAATTACATTCACGACATATCAAGGCGAATATGCAACAATTCTAATTTTCTGCATAGTTTTCAGCATGGGAGAAATTCAGTTCTATGAATTATCGCCTCTAACGGTCAAACGGCCTAACTATATTTACATTTTTTCCTCTGGTGTTTTTAGTGACTAAAACGTGCGTATCCACTGTGAAAGTGGCAATGATAATGAAAACCTAGCCGAAAGCAGATGCTTAGTGTCAATTCGAAAACTAATAGCAAAACATACCGTGATGTACACACTTATAAATTTTTTATTGTTATTTTTATATGAGAAAAGTTTTTTCAGCAAACCAGTCGAGCGACGGAATCAAATTACCGCGTGAATTATTACATATACAGCAAATGAATGGATTATAAAATTGTACAATTATTGTATATGCAATTGCCAGTATCCCTCGTTGGTTACCCATGCGAATGCATATTTCCTCTCTCGCCGTGTGTATATGCATTTCTCTCACCAGAAGCTCCAGAAAAAAATGTACATATAGTTCGAATGTTGACCACCAGTGTGGATTTCCCTAGTGTGCGTTTTCTAGTTTTATTAACTATGCATTGGCGATCACTCTATTCGCCTTTACTCATGATACAACAATGCATAACTAGATTTTGTCGCATATGTGAATGCGTCTTAAATTAGTATAGAGCAGACGACTTATCGCCATTTTACCCAAGTATTTCAAGAATAACGTAGGGAGTACGAAATTATAAAGATGTTGACTGTAAGATCAGCTTTACGAGGATTCACCAGATCCATCAAAACTACTGCTGTAAACAAAAGTGATCACGGGCCAGAAGGTTTTCCCGGTGCCGTAAGTAAAAAGATAATGTATTATTCTATAACACATAACGAAATCTGACTTAATAACTTTTTGTCAAAATAAAAATAAGCTATAGAAATAATTGAATAAAATAACTTGAAATAATTAACTGCATGTTTTTTAGACATTTACTATCCCTCCTTTCCTTATCAATGAAAAACAATAAAAATTTCACTTTTCTTTTTACAGAACTTACCTTTTAGCATCAACAACAGATACAAGTTATGTGCAATATTTATGGCTTTCTTTGGAAGTGGATTTTCTGTTCCTTTCCTTGTTCTCCGGTACCACTTAACGAAGTAATATGTGTGAGTTCTATCAATTTATAGTTCCTATGAAGCACCTCAATGTAAATTTGGATTTATCTTAATCATTGTTTTACAGGTATTACAGCATTAACATTAATAAATTAGTCTAATACTGTTGCAAAACATGTAATATGTAACATAGATTTATAATAAAAATATTGTAAAATAAAGTTTTATAAGTATTTAATAAAGTCATAATGTCAACATTTTCAGAAATGTTTTCACATAGACATTGACATAATTTATCATACATAATGAATATAATATAATATAGAATATAGAAGATTTATAATACAGAAGAATTTCCATTTATTTTATTTTCATGAAAACAACCAATATACATATTCAACCAATTTAAATATTGCTATTTGTAGACGAGATATACTAGATTAAATAGATTCACATGAATTGGCAAATTTTTTCATTATAATCAGGAATGGAGAATAATTGTAGTAATTATCCCATTACATAACCAGAGAGAAACGCGGTTATTTCATTTATATAACCTATTTTATGTGTCACGACTCAAATGTTACTCTATGTATATGATTCAGTTATAATTTCAATACGTACAATGTCGCATCTTATTTTGCTCAATAAACATTTAATTGGTAAACGCTAAAATAATTCAATTGGTATATTCAACTTTGACCTCTGCATATCTATTATCTTCAGCTTCTATAATTTAACGAGATATTATTATTCTTCAAGGACTCGCTTACGTTAGAGCTAATCTATGAATAGGTGTCAATACGCAGTTTCATAGGCGGGATTTGCGTGTTGTTCCTCCTGTTCGATTTTAACTCGGCTGGACGGATTTTTTTTTCGCGCACGTGAGTATCAGCCTTGACGAGTTTCTGCTTGCCGGAAAAGAGTTGCGTTTTAAGATAAGGTGTCGTCATTTACATAAGATAGTGTTACCATGAACTGACGCTTACCGGGCTTACCTTGCAAAAAGCACATGCTGCTTAGAAATTATTAATCTTTTTATGTGAACAGTTCTAACCTTCATGCATATTCATATTCCGGGGAATGTCGTTTGACGTTCCCATGAAGTAAAACAAGGTCAATTGATTTCGAATCGGGATTGAAGCACGTCTTTCTCCAGCACAGCGGTTAGACGAATTCTATACATCAACATGTATCACAAATTGAATCTCGAAGTCAAGTATCTTACTGAACAACATCTTACCGGCTTCGAGAACTATAAAGTAAGTCCTCTAGCTAAGTATTTTTCTTCATAATTTGTATTGAATAATATTGAATTGCGTGATAAAAATTTTTGTTTATTATTAGTTTATTACCTCGGAATTATAATATAGATTTAAGAAAAGACTATAGTTTCATACATATTTTATCGTAAATTTTTCATTCATCTACATTTTCAGTATAGCTCAGTGGATACAAGCCCTCTCAGTGTATATATTATGCATCCATTTTGGAATAAAGTAGTACAGGTACATCCTTTATATAAAATGTTTATTTATAATTACGTATTCAATTTCATATATCAATTTGGGACTTTTTTATAGTATTGTCCAAAGTGGGTTGCCCCAAACGTATTAACTTTCTCTGGATTTCTGTTTACTGTCTTTAACTTCACGTTGTTTACATTTTATGATTATTATTTGTATGCATCAAGTGATGATAAGCCACAGTATCCTCCTATACCAAGATGGGTCTTTGCCTTGGGTGCATTCAATGTTTTTATGGCATATACTCTTGGTAAGTATAATCTTAACATCTCCTATGAATTTACATATTCATTGTATTTAATGTAATGTTTATTTTGCAGATGGTATTGATGGAAAACAAGCACGACGTACGCAAACATCAGGTCCTTTAGGAGAGCTATTTGATCATGGACTAGATAGTTGGACAACAATGCTCATTAGTGTTTGTATGTTTTCTGTGTTTGGTAGGACAGACCATAGTGTATCTCCATTAAGAATGTATTTCATTCTATGGAACGTGTTTATTAGTTTCTACTTAACTCATTGGGAAAAGTATAACACAGGGGTACTGTTTCTTCCTTGGGGATATGATCTATCTATGGTAGTAAGTATTCATTCAAAGTATCTATTAAATTATTGATAAGTGATTCATGTAATTTATGGTTATCTCTAAAATTTTTAGGGTACTATTATTGTCTTTGTCATATCTAGTATAGGCGGACATAAAGCCTGGAAGATTGTGTTCCCTGGTGGTATACCAGTTGGTGTAATGTTTGAAGTATTACTTTATGTCACTGCAATTGTATCTAGTTTGCCTGTAGTTCTATGGAATATATATAAGTTAGTACAATACAATTAAAGTAATTTACATTTTTTAGTAACGTTTTCTCATATATTAACAAAATATATTTTGCAATCTCTAGATCATATAGGGACAAGACTGGTAAAATGCGAACGTTCTTAGATGCCATAAGACCTCTACTGCCTCTAGCAGTACTCTTTTCGATTTCAACAATTTGGGTAGTTCATTCACCTAGTAATATCATAGACAAAGATCCTAGGATAATTTTCTTAGCAATTGGAACTATTTTTTCAAACATCTGTGTAAGATAATTAGTCAGAGAATTGAATTTAAACCGTTTAATTGATAAAAATTAATTTAATTAATTTATATTCTTTAAAATTTACAGTGTCGTTTAATTGTTTCACAAATGAGCAACACCAGATGTGAACTATTATCATGGATATTACTACCTGTAGCAGTTGCAGCCCTTTTCTCATTTATCTTGCCTAGTATAGATTTGGTATTCACATATATTCTTGCCATTATAGCTTTATTGGCACATATTCACTATGGAACATGTGTGGTAAGCTTTATATTATTATTTTCAATAAAATATTTTATAATACAGGGAGTTTTTGAAATCGTGGTACAACTGGAAGCTTGTAATTATAAATACATTTTGTTTATATGATATGGGATATGAGGTAGTATATACAAAATATACAATGTGGAATAAAAATGTGAGCTGTGGAATGGACTTGGGTTAATGAATATGAGATAATAAATATTAGATATTAGATATAGTATATACAGTTGTCGATAATGCAGAAAGTGAGAGAGAGAGATTGATAGCTTAATATGCAACTTTTGAAATATCAGATATGAAAGATTGAATAGAGTTGGTTGTGGAATATATGAGATAAGATGTGAGAATATAGGACATAGAAGATGAGATATGATTCCCCGAGCAAGATGTGTGATTAAGGTGCACGTATACTTAATGAACATACAAAAAAAAGATATTATTCTATATGTTCGACTTAGCTTTATACGAGGAATCCTTTCCAGTTGTACCATGTTTGCAGAAACATCCTATATAGACTATTATTAATAAATTATTTATTCCTTTAGGTGCGTCAGATGTGTCGTCATTTCCGTATTCACACGTTCCATATTAAAGATCGTGCAGACTGACTACTTGCCGACGATACATGTTAAAAATGAAGAAATACGAACAAACGGTCGGAAAGAGCTACGAATGATTGAGTACAGAGCAGACAAACGGAAGAAACTTCAGAATTACGATTGATAAGAAGAACAAAAGAATATTTCAAATATGAACATGCAAATATTGGACAGTAGATAATAGGAGTTTATTCGAGCATACAACTATCGCTGATCATATATCTAAAAATAGAGAGAGTACCTGTTAAGTAATGTTAATAATTCAGTTGCAAAGATGAAGCCATTTCCATTTCATGTTGCTGTGATATAATTAAAGAAGAACCTAGAAGCTTTCTTTATGTGTACATACTCCCAAATAAGTTCACATACGTTCTCTCTACTTTGTCTTTTTGTGTTCTGTTCGTAACTCTGACTGTGCATAGAGCATTCATTTAAAGCACGCAAGGCTTTTAGCTGTTGCGCATCGAATTCTTCGTTTTTAACATGTATTGTCTGAAAAATGAGATTATGAATCTGGCTTGCTCAATTTTCCCACAAAACGAACATTTCTTTCCTTTAGAGAAATTAAAAAATTTGTGGAGAAATTTAAGAGTCAAATTTCGAGATTTTTTGAACTTTTAAAGGTCTCCACAGAAGCTTTTCTTTTGTTTCGAGTGATTGCTAAAGGACGAAGTTTTCTTTTGCTTGAAAATTCTGAGCAAGTTAGCAGATGAACTTCGATATGGATAAAAGAGAAAGGGTGTAATGCTGGTGTAATAAGATAGAAGACATTATTTATTTTGCGTAAGTATGTATGTGTATGTTATATTATATTTAATCGGCTTCCTGAAACGAAGAATCTTTGCAAATAATGTAGAAAATGTCGTGTACCGACGTAGATAACGATAAGTCATAACGATAAGTGACATTGAGTCACAAATTTTGACTTAGATTAAATCAAGTCAATCGAATTGATTAAAGAACTTAGTGAGTAACTGAAGAAAGGATACGCGATATTTCATTTTCTTCTTTCTTTATAAAATATTCCAAATGACGTTTTAGTCCATACTCATTGCGGATTTTTATGCATTTATGGGAAATTTGAAGCTGCAAAAATATATAGAATTTACATAAAGCACAAAAGTGCATAAAATATATTACTAGTTACTAAAAAAATTTAATAAGTTTTCAACGTGGGAAAAAATATATGAAATTACAGTCAGAAGTCAGAAATCATGCAACAATTAATTACCTGATCATTTTTTGTTATTAATACCAATCAATTATTATAATTTTTGTCTACAAGATATGTAGTTGGTGACAATAGCAGATGGTGCAAAATATATAAATAGTAAATATATTAATTAATTTGTGAACTGAAATGAATAATTTGGCTTGTAAGTTAGGAAACAATATATGCAACTATTAAGTGTTAAATAATTCCCACGTTGTACGAATAAAACGAACAAATAAGTCAATGTAACAGTAACCAATTTGTTGAAATGTGTATTATTATCATGGGTTTCCATTGACTTTATGCATTGAAATTCCATTTTAATGTTTTAAGTGAAAATTTTTCTATTCCTGCATTTAATATTGTTACTAGTCTAATTTATCTTATCGATATACATAATTTTAAGAAATTTAACGCATTGCATTTTGTAAAAGAAAAGAATTAATTCAAGCATTCGTTCGAAATTGTAAGTAGAGTGGAGAATGTTAATAGATGTAACGAGCTTTTTGTAAACTTTAGTATATGTACATACATAGTCACAAAAGAACTTACCGAACGTGTAGGAACTCAAAATGCTAAATTTTTTAATTACCTAGGTACTTGTACAAATAGTAATTAACGAAAGCTATGTAACCCGTTCTAATTAAAACACCGTTTATGTAACTTTACTTTTTAGATATTTAGTTCTTCTTTTTTATGTAAGGTATTAATTATCTGTATCGTTTATCACTCATCGAATATAATAATGTATGTATTAATTTCTCGAACGTTTGTTTTTGCCAAAGATGTTAAAAACAGGAATTTTACATAAATATTTCGCTTACTGCGAGCAGTTATATACACATTTTATCTATATATTTTTAATGCATTAATAATACAATTAAAAGCACAAAAGACTGTTTTGCATTTACTTTACTTTTACATATAATCCATGTAATTATAGAAATGAACAAAGAGTTATCTATTTTAGGAATACATCTCTTATATATTTCAAGATTATGATAAAAATGATTTTGTAGATATAAATAACGTTTATAAAGTAGCTATAAAATTATATGCAAAACCTATCATCCATAAAAAAACTGTACTATTTTTTGCGGGATTGTAAGTACTCTTCTTTTATTTTTTCTCTTTCTTCAGGCAAAGGGAGGTACGGTTTTATACCTCGAATCTTCCTATTGATCATTACCGCTCTCTAAAACATTCATAAAATATTTGAAGCACACTGTATTCAGAACTGACATTAATGTACTTAGTGAATATATATGTACGATTACCCAAAATTTCTTACAGAGCTTGTAATTTTCAAATTGCATTATACAATTATTAGCTTCGTATTTATTGTCCTCTAGGCATTTCCCACTGATGTTATATTCCTGAAAAATAATAAACAAGATAAACATGCTTTTTATATCTTTGAGGTTAAGTAACAGACTTTCCATCAACTTTTAAAATAATAGATCAACAGCTACAATTTATCTATTCTTCCATTCTTCTCTAAATTAGTTTCTAACTTTTTAAATTGTAAGTTTCGTTTCTTTAAATATCTTAATTGAATAAAAAGGTTCAAATTATATAACCTCAAAGAACTAAATCCCATACACGTACTTGTAAACAAGGATTAATTAGATGCTGATCTTGAGTGAGTTTCTCTTTTAATGTCGATATATGTTTATTATTTATATTTAAAGTACTCATTTTATTTTCCAGATATTCAAAGTTTATCACTTAACATTGATAGTTGTGGCTTTCTCTAATTATAATCGAGTTTAACAAGTTTTATTTATAAAATGATAAGTCTTTAAAATATCAAAGTTAATTAAGATACACAGTAGAAATTTAAATTAAAGTTTGAAATAATAAATGTAAGTTTAAATAAGTACCAATTATAATTGTCTGCTTTTATATATGCATATATATATTTTTGATAATCATATATGTATGTACATATTGTTACAAAATGAATCTGTAATACATATAATCTTATAAATTTTCTACAATGATTATGGATTCTGTGTAATTTCAGTTTTAAAATTTATGTTACTATTATGAAAGTACCTAAATATGATTATAACATTATCTCCTCAATTTGCATTCAAACAAAGTTACATAACCTTAAACAAACAAGTAGAAGCCTCTTTTTGTTGTTTTGAAAAGTAGGTAATTAACTCTAGACCTGTGATAAGAGGTAGCTATTTGTTTTTGAGAACGTAGTACTGAAATATTTGGTTTTTAAATTGTATAGGATGGGAGAACACTTTTCTTCCATGATATTTGAGGATAAATAAATCCTAAATACTTCAAAACATAGTACATATAAACCTATATGCGAAGACAGTGGAATTGAATGTTATTAAATTACAATACTTTTTTTATTTCAAATGCTTATAAATCGCGATAATATTCTTCTCTCACAGTTGATGAGCATTAAAAGAGATCAGCCTATACTTTGTATATACACAATGATAAGAAAATCATATCTATAACTCCTCAAAATTTACAACATTCTTTTTCCAGAACCTACCAATTCTTATAGTAAGTTCGTCAAATTTTAAAAATAGAAAAGGGAGCGCAGAGAATAATAAAGTTAATTGCAGGTACGGGGTCACTATACTGGCGAGAGTACAGTGTGCTATTTGTGTCGAGTGATCTAAACATCGGCAAGTTGCAGCTGGAAATAATATTTAAAGTTTTACATATAATAAATATTCAAAAATATTACAAATATTACATATAAAATATATAACATTCAAATATTAGATTAACTAACCAATTTACGTATTTTCGAAATTCTGTTGCACCTTTTGCCATTTTGCAACCATACTAGAGACTTCTTTATGCTTTTTACTAATACCAATCCTTGTCTGAAATCATAACACAATGTAATTTCTTTGTAATCTATATATATCAAATTAATTTTACTTCTTTTATTCAAATATTTTACCCTTTTCCTTTTCTTTTCTTTCACAGTAGTTTCAACAGGGATAGGTTCTTGGTCTGTCTCTAATTTGGCTTCCTCTGTTGGTAAGGACGACGGTTCCACAGTCGTAGTATCTTGTCTCTGAGGAACTTTCTCTATTCCGATATTCTCTATTCGCGCAATATCATTGTAAAATGAATCTAGTGCAGACACTAAAGATTCTTTCGCTGTTTTAACTGGTGGCTTCTCAATGACCTTATGATTCGTATATATTGGAGTGTAGTCAGGTATTAGCTGAATCGCAGGCTGCACATTGTGCTTATGCGGAAGTACTAAGGCCGCTGGCTATTTGACAATAAATATAACAAGATTAATTACAGAAGTAACCTGATTGTATTAGTATATTTAATAACATACAGCGTGTAAGTGTTGATGATATGCTGGATATTGAAGATAATGTTCTTGTACTATGGTCGCTGGATGACTTAGAATAGGAACTGTCGGATCTCTCGCAGCTGCATCGTAGAGCGCAGCACCTTGTGATTGCACAGCGCCATAAATAATTCTTTTCAGGGCAGTTGCAGGTATCTCATAAGGTGCTTCTGTTAAATCAACACCTGGTGGCAGGGGTTCTGCGTTAGTTACGTTTGCAAGATTGGCAGGCTGAGGCGACAGTAAGGCAGAGGATGGGGCAACAGAATTTTCTAATTGTTTTATTTCCGCGACTGCTGCTCCCTCTGCAGAAAGAAATATATCAGTTTATATTTAAAATACCTAAGTGTGTAAAGAAAAATTGATTTAATAAGGATGCACCTTCTCCTAGTCGTGGTCTCTTATCATCCAATTTGTCGTTGCACTTATCTTGTTTCCTTTTGTCCCTCTTCAAATCCTCCGCGTATATTCTTGGGGGTGGAGGTGGGCTCGGATTTGAAATTTGTGGTGGAGGCGGAGCTTCTATGTCGCTGTTCCTTGGCATCGTCATGTCCTCTGTTGTCTCTCCACCTTCTGATTTCTTTGACTTTGATCTTAGTCCTTCTTCTTCTGCTATCAAAGAGAAGCATACATTATTCACTAAATAAATTAAGGGTCTAACTTTATATTATATAAAACTTCACCATACCAGGTATAATAATATCTTCTTGCTCAGCTGGAGGAGGCGTGGAACAAATTTCCATCTCTTCAGCTCCACCGGCGATGCCAGTATCCGGATAAGTCCATTGTGTAATTCCAGTGGCAGTGTTCTGGTAATAATATCGCTTATGCGACCTGGAAAAAAGCCCACAAAGGGATGTAGCACAGTGACGAATAAAAGTGACTTACTTGCATGGTTTTTTTCTTTACATTGATAAACATTGGAAAGACGTTACTCCATGAAAAGAACGTCCTCCTGAGTTCTGAAGCAACTTATTAGCTAGAAAACAAAAAGTTAATACTCCTACCTGCAGCTCGGTGTGCCATTAAGTCAGCGAGGCCCTTTTATTATAAAAGGATTAAGTGTTACTTAGCAGTTACATAGAAGGCGATGTCTTCCGCAAACTCGAACATTGAGAATTACGTCGACAATATCTGCGTTACGCTAGCGAAATATTAAGCGGATTGATTATGCGTGTAACTAAGGGCGCAAAGGCCTGAGGATGACTTTCAAAGATATACAACGACGTGCACTCGTTGAGGAACAAAGGGAAGCGCCTTTTAATTGTTACATTTCAAGAAATTGTTTAAACATATAGAAGATACAACTTTTCACGAAATGTATTTTTTTTTTTAACAAATGACGTATATACGTGACATTAAAAACATATACATAAAGTGTAGTGTAGAGAAACGAAAACTTCGTACGATATATATGTAATGATCGTCTACAAGTATTGTTACTTTGATGCTTTGACTAACAACTTTGTGTACAACTTGTATCAACGACTTGATAAATCTTTTCAATGATGCCTAGCTTCTTTAGGTTCCTAGTTCCTTCATATGACTTCGTCCAAGAAGAACTTGAGTTAATTTGGTATAAGCTTCTTTTGATATTTAATGGTTTCTTCCAGCAACGACCATCCCCTTTTATCACTTATCCCTTCAGGTTACTAAGTCTGTTTAACACTCACATGATTTAAGATCTCTTTCAAATACTTCTCAGGTTTCATGACTGCATCTCTAATGGATGGTTTTATCCATTTGGTATAGACGCTGTCTCTGCACTTTGTTGAGGTGAGCTTTTGACTCTAGTTATTTCAGAAGTTTAGTTCTTGAAGTGTTCAAATATACTGGATAATATAATCTTCATGCTTTAAGTCACTAAACAATGCTCCTAATGTTTGTTAATTCTCCCACATATACTCTTCGTTCATAATTTTAGATAATGCACATTTGGTCTTTGAGGCTCCACTCTGAACACAAACCTATCTTTTTATTACTTAGTTACTTTATAAGATAACCCGGTACTGTTTGCACATTCATGTATAATTTTCAATAAATTTAATTAATAAAAATATTGTCCCTTAAGGGACGTAAGTAGAATTAATGATCCTAAAAACTTTAAAGAATTTCGTAATGTTTTATTCTGAAATTGATAAAATCAAATTGATTAAGTTTCTTAATAAGGATACGACAATTGTTTGTTCATTTCTTTTACTATGAATCATGAGAAGAATTAAAAAAAAATTTGAAAAAATACTTCATGTTTTAAATTCAAGATACCATCTTGTGAAGAAAATTAATTTAAAACAAAAAGATTGAAATTATCACTGGTTATCGTTACTAAGTGTCTTGCTAATGATATGTGCAAAGATTACATGACTTGAAGATTTTTAGAATAATGACGTGTATAACATACACGATATTTTGTATGGTACGATTTATGTTTATTTATATGAAATACACAAATTTTAGATGGTATACTATACCTATCCCACTGACATAGCCATCCAGGTGGTGCTGCATCTTGTTCCAAGCGTTCCAATTCGTGACTGGTGTCACTCAACCATCTACGTAAGTAATTCTTTTCTAAACAACCTGCTTCCCATGCAACAAACAATGTCTGCAACATAATATTCAATATATCGTATATTATACATATAGATCTCATACATATAATATTATATTTTATTTGATATAACATTATATTGGTTGATCTCTTATAACTATGTAAAAAGGAATTTTATTTACTTGTAGCTGAATAGACATCAATTGAACTGGCGATACACCTGGTTTTCCTTCTGATAAAAACTTTAATTTCTCAAGTATGATCTGGGATAGTAGATTAACCTCCCCTTCATCTTCTTTGGATTCACCATTCGTTTCTGACGTACTTGTTTCTCCTTCAGTACTATTTGACTCATCTTTGCAAGTTGAAACATTCTCTTCCACGTTCTCGTTCGCAGTGTTTGGTTCTTCTTGCTGATCAACCTGAGGTTCAATAAGATGCTCGTCGCAAGAGTTTATTTCCTCGCGTTGGGTCTCCACTTCCAGTTTACTTGTTTCATTATCATTATTTGTTTTTATCTTTGTAGATGGAACTAAAAAAATAAGTGAATTTTAATTTAATTCAGGTTATAATTATTGATTTGTAAAATATTCTTACCATCAAATGCAATACGTTTTTTCCTTTGAAAAAATTTATTCCGACCATGTACGTTATCGACGAATTTGTTTCCTTTTTGCGTATCCTCCTCTGTTTTAGTATTTGAATCATCTTTGCATTCTAACCTTTCTAGAATGTCTTCATTATCTTCTTGTACGTTTTTCCTTTCGCCATTAATTTCTTCATTGTCATTACTCTCTGCTATTTGATCACTATCAATTTTACCTAATAACATACTGTCTATGGTTTCTTTGGGTTGAGGAATTGGAAATAGAGCTTTTCTCTCCTGTTTATCTTCAGATTCTTCTTCAACATCTGAATCTTCATCGTAACCAGGCACTAAAGAAATGCGGAAGTCTACATCGGAATCAACACTGTGTTTATTACTGCTTTTCTTTATTACAGATTCTTTCATTAATCGATTATCATTATTAATTTTATCCGTATAATCTATCTTTTGAACAGCATCTTGTTTAATTTGGTTTATTAAGTACTTAACTTCTGCATCATCGGATGGTTTTGAGTCCACGGATTCTACCATTGATTCTTCTACAGTACCTTTGTTTTCGTACATCTGATTTGTATTCTGAGAAATTGTCAGTAACTGTGGTTGGATTATAGGGGTTGATGCAGAAAGTTTTTCAGGGCATCTCAATTTTGGTGTTGTACTTGTGCTTTTCACCGATGATTCTTTCATGTCGTACTTTGATCGATTCTCATCCACTGTATCTGAATCACTTTCATCACTCCCATAGGATGTGATCATTTCTATTTTCCTAAATCATTAAATTATTCTTTCTAAGAAACCTATTAAAGTGAGATTTAAAATTACTAATGCCTTAGCGTTATACCCATCATCAGAATCGTTATCCATGGTATCAGATGTGTTAGCAGTGTCTGGATCAGTTTGAGATTCTGGCTTCTGCAAAGTTTCATTGCAAATATATCTATTACGATTTCGAGCCACCACTTCCCGCGGAATCATACCTTCTGGTATATTTTCATGGGATTGTTGATCTAAAAAGATTTCACGCTATTGATTAGAGAATCCATATCTGTTAAAGAACAAAATAAAAATTCAACAAAATACAATTACATGTAACTGATGAGAAATCAACCCAATGAGACTCTTGCATTGAAAGTGGTTTTATAACAGAGCTTGTTTTAATGTTGTTTTTTAAGTACCGTAATTCATCTGGCATTTCCCAGGTTACTTCGTTAGTCTCAATGTGCCAATAGTAAGGATAACCTGAAGATTCATCTAAGCATTCTCTCCACACTAAAATGGTTTTCATTATTAATCTACAAAGTATTGCAAAGACATTCTCTAAATTCTAAGATATGATAGTATCTTACTGAGTGCTTGTTGATTTGTATAATGTGCTAAGCGTGTGTTAGAATTTGTTGTTAAGGCAACATTGCTAGATTCATTTGAGACTGGTTGTTTGGGTGCAATCAGTTGGATTTCCTACAAAATTTCAAAGATCTTACATTTTTTAATGTTTTGTAAAAAATTATGATCATAAGAAGCCTTACTTACTTTAAAAAAATTATTAACTTGATCATCTAATTTGCAATCTTTCTTTGAGTCTTCAGTATCACTATCTGAATTATAGTGACAAAGTAAATTTGCCAGAGGATTTGTAGGTATGTTTTGTCCAGGGTAATCACTATTTATATGTTTGTGTTTGTCTAAAAAAGGTAATGATGAGACATATTACATAAAATTTAAATCTATGTACGAGTTTTTATTAACAATTTCTTTTTATTAATAAAATTGAATGTATAATTACAAAATGCTACTGTATATATATAAAATTCTCTAATGCCATGCACTTCTGTAACAGTTTAACATCTAAAAATAGATATAATGCAATAATAAAAATTTGTTAATTAATATATGTGTTTACTTTGTAAATGTTCTCCATGAAAACCGGATTGCGATTGATTAAGTTCTAAAACAGGCCTTCTTTGACGTCGCTTCATAATAAAATATAAATTATATCTGTTACAGATAATAAAAATATCTGCAAATATGAAAATTAATGCGAGTAGAATGATGAGATCATATCTAGTTATTCAATCAAGTGACGCAAATCTGTACGCTATTTTTACGTACATTTAAAACGAGAATGTATTTTCTCATAAACAATACAGAAAGGTCATTCATAACCTCAAAGTATACGCTTATTTGCTTAAACAATTGCAAAGTATGAAAAAGAGCAGAGACTGAACACTTCGACTGATAATTACGAAGTGTATAAAAATACAATACTGTACACTTCACACATATCTTAAAAACTTCTAAAGACCTTAGACATTGCAAAAGAGAGGTTATGTTAAACTACAACGAAAAGTCATACTCCCATCTTCAAGAGTCATCGATCACTAAATCATTCATTATTAGTTGTACAAACCACAGAATAATTTGGTTATTTAAAGCGCCATCCAGTGATACATTTTCTAACTTATATCTTATAAACCGTGGCGGGAAATGTAAAATTACCCGTCGTTTCTATATGGAATACCTTTTTATTCAAAGTAATATTACTAGAAAATATAAATTCTCGTATTTATATAAATATTCAACTATATTCTGTTAACAATTCATTCTATAAATATAAAACTCTAAATGGAAGAATGAAAAAGGAATGAAATCCTCGAGTTTAAGGGATTCGATCACGAATGTAATTACTTATAACATATTTATTTATAATGTTTTAGTAATATATTCCTTACTGTAGACATATATTTATATCATATGGCAGCATAGTAATATGACATTGTATAATATAAGTGAGGTGACTGACAAAACGATTCATATTTTTAATTCTCTTTGTTCTCTGGTCAAAGACCAATCATATCTTTCTCCCATTCGTATTCAATCACTCTTACATTTCACGCACGCATACGCTCATTAATGTTCCAGCCTCGTGGTACGCGCGTCTAGGATATTCCTTTTTCTCTCAGATAATTCGCATCCATTGTACTTTCTTGATCGCCAATCGATCGATGCTGGAACTCAAAATGGCGTGTTTTGACTCGCAACAAATCGTATCTCATGATATTTTAATCCCCATTTACGTGTTATATTCGCCGTCGTTTTCAGTTTTTATTGATAGGTATATCAGGCTAATGGGCGCGTCGCAGTGCGCGCGCGTGCACCGACCTCAAGTGCGAACCGGCACGATTAGTCGATAACTGACGATCGCAACCAAGGTTACCTACATATATATATATATATATATACATATATATATGTGTGTATATTATATGGAGCTCGTCTACTATGATTTGTAACATTATTTCATACTTACTCGGCTAGTTAAAATATCAATGTACATTATAATATACTCTAATAACGATAATGCAACATCGTTAATTTATTATGCTTTGCAACTTAGAAAAATAGTCCTAGCTAAGCGTGGCCGCGTCCCGTGGAACCTCACGATTATCATTTTGTTACTGGAAATACAAAAACTTAAAATCTGCGCTTCGGAAGATCGATATCGATCTTCCTAGGGAATTTATTCTTTCAGATTACCAGATCTGATCGAAGCACCTGGTGGTCGTACCAAGTTATGCATAATATCTCTAGATAGCAGTAGATGAAACTGAATTCCATGTTATTCCACAAGAGAACAATTCCTTGAAGCAACTAAAAATTAAAGAGAAGATATTACATAATATTTAATTAAAATTCAAATTTGATTTTGGAATAATTTTGTGGATTTTGGAATAGAGTGATTAAAATTAATTCTAATATGGATAAATGGAATCATGCCTGAGGAAAATACCCTACAAGATCACCTAATTGACTAAATTCTTTACGTCTTCATAATCTCAGGAGCAAGAATTTCTCCTAAATTGCAAAAGAACTGTCTATACCTTCTATTATACATTATACCAATCTCTGGAATTATTTTCCCCAGGATTTATGTTGCATATCCCAAAATCCCCTAGTAAATTAAAAATAGTAACATTGTTAACGTGAACAGAACGATATCGGGTAATTACAGATATTTAAGAAGGTCACCGAATGATTGTTTGTTAATAAGTCAATTATTTATTGTTACCTTTCAGCAATGAAACGAACGTTTAGCAGGAGCACGCGATGCGGTCACGGCACAATAAAATCTATTAAAAACGATCAACGGAACAACGGTAGTACTACCTCTTTGAAATTCTCACGCTCTACAATATGTCCTACTGTTGATTTATAATTCGATCGATGATCGCGCACACCATCGATCCTCCATCTTGAATTAATGTGGACTTAACACTGACTAAATTATCACCGGAATCGGTGACGTTAGAACCCTATTCTTTATCATTTTTTTTTTTTTGCTTTTCTTTTCATTTACTTGCGCGAGATTTATCGATTCGCTATCAAGCGTCACCTTTTGGCCGGCAGGCTGTCAACCTATGATCGATAACGGAAGTAGTGATCACGATAGAAAATACCGTATACCTAATATTCCCTATATCTAGAATTCCATTTCTAATAACTATTTATATTATTGAGAATAATGAAATTACACGTTTTTTTGTAATTTGAAGTATTTCGTTTGGTTCGAAATTAGTAAAATTATTATTACTTCTTTTTAATGATATTATCGATTAGGTTGGCAGTCTACTTGCCGTGAAATGAAACAAAAATAAAGTGTGGCGTCCAGCTTAACCGATTCTTGGCTAATTAATAACTAATCGACCCTTCTCACTCGAACCACTTTTTACCTCTGTCGTTAATATGTTCATGTTCATTATTCATACATAGTATTTAATAACTCGGGGAATTCCCCATACGATTCCATTTTTCTCTAGATGACTCCGTAGTGACTTCGAGTGTGAAGGGCTTTTTTTACCTCGAATGGGCTCTACTATTGATAATCATTTGAATCATTAATAAACATCGATCGTCATCAAGATCGATAACGTCGCGACGCAATAAATCTTTCACAAACAATGGAAAACAGGTTACCATGGCCAAACACGCTGGGTGGAAACGTGCCTTAAAGTATACGTATTATTAGTATTATTAATTATTATTAGCAATTCGAACGCACACATCGTTATTTATTTTTTCTTTAATATTATCGTTATCGATATTACTATTAATATTATTGTTATCATTATCTTTATCATTACAATTATTATTTATTTAGAACGACATAAAAAAGTCAGTCCTCGAAAGCAGAAGTTCCATTTCACCCGTTGTGCCTGGCTCACTAACGCGCAAATCTTACGATCACGTGTGAACACATTGAACATAACATAAATCGAAGAAACAGAGTTTTTACCCATTCCATACTGATTTTTTCATCTTATTCCTAGATTTCTTTTCTTATCGCGAGAATGTTCGTTACGATGCGGACCTCAAAGCGACTTGGACAAACGAATACGCGTGACACGCAAAAACAGCGAAGAATACGAATATTTTATAATCTCTAGCTACAAAGAATTCCCATAATTGATCTAAATTCTGTTATATTGCAGGAAATTCTATTTCGTTTTGGTGTTGAAGTTGCTGTACTTGTATCCGCGTACTGTGCTTCTACATCTTCTTGGAGTGCGTCCGGCTTGACCAACGTTTAAAAAACAAAAATTATTATAGGTACCTAGTAACATTTTTGATCTAAGGAAAATTTACTTAGATATTCTACCAACTTATGATGAATCTTCTGTTGAAAACTGTAAGATCTAAAATTTCAAGGGAGATCTTTGATGATTAGAAAAATATCCCTAGATGAAGACAAAATTTCTAGAAAGCCGGACGCATTTACAATTGACACTGTCACACACAAGATACGCATTTTCATTTACTTTCCCACTCGACACTATCTTTTGTGTTCACACTCTCATCGGTGCTTCTCTTTCTTTTCATAGTTGATTTTTCTCTGGTTCGCATGAGCGGTCAATGGGCGTCTCTAGTAAAAGCGCGCCGCGACGCGCACTTACAAATTGTAATTAATTATACTGACACGCTACTATATATTCTTCAATATAATATATATATATATCTACTTGCTTGGTATAGCGATCAACGATAGTTGTTTTTTCTTCTCCTTCATTTTTATATGTATAATTTATATATATATATATTTTTCTTTCTTGTCTTATGTATATATATATATATATATAATCTCCCTCCCTCCCTCGTTCCCACCCTCCCTTTTGCTCATTCATTCATACTTTTAGCCACACATTCGTCTTCTGGATCGTTCAGCAGCTTCGATCGGAGGATCGATCGATCCTCGAAATTCGAGTCAAATTTATTTCATGATACGCTTCTAAGTTGGGACTTTTAACTTTTTTTTTGTTGTTGCGCAAATACTGATATACCACTCATCCATCATTTGTTCGTATCACTGTCCTATCTGCTCTCTTTCCCTTCTTTCGTAGTGTCTCTACGTTTTCCCTTTCCTCCTTCTAAAATTAGTATTTTATAGCTTCTAGTTTCTCGTTACCTATTCTACATTCACATAAACTTTCACTCGCCTTCTTCCAAACTCACTGCTCTCTCCCCATGTTTATTATTTCGCTCTGTCATTCATCTTCTGATTCTTCTACACACACAACACTCGATGCATTCAATTTTGTAAATATATTTATACACTTAGAATTTTCAATTCTCTTGACGATTTAATCGCCTGGCTTCTTTGTATCGTCTTTCTGCTCTTGTTTCATTCATCCACACCCAGACACGTATGCTTGCCTCTCACTCTTGTTCATACGTTCCTATAACTGTTTACCAATCATTCCCCATAGATGTTAAAATTATTGAGGAAATTGATTGCACAGTGGGCTATACATTTAACAAGAATTTAAACACTGTAAACGAAAAAGCTCTTTCAAATTTATCTTTAACTTCATTGACAAGTTAGTCGTTCGTTAAATTAAATTGTGTGTATGCTTGGAGTCTCATCGATATCAGGCTAAAGTGTTCAACATTAAACTTCTTCTATGTGTAACAGTAACCAATGTGCAACAGACTTCCTCAATCAAGGTGTATGATACAACAAGTGAATTGCAATTATTCATCCACGCTATTTCTATTAACAGAGAGTTTCACAGGCTCCTCTCTAAATAATCGTAAGCTTTTTATTCTTTCACTTTTTCTCCCTTCACATGACAGTGATTGACAGCGATATTGTGTGTGGAGATCCGATGATCTAAGCACTGATTATATGTACATGTTTACGTAGAGATTCCTATGAAATATTAATCTGTATAAATCATAATAAAGATGATACAAAATCGTCAATTAACATGGAATGAATAAAAAAACTATTTGTTGAAATACAAATTTATCTTAGTGTTTCATCCCTTCCACACGTGTGATTTAGTTATCTGCGCATACTTTAATAATTAATACTCAACTTTTATTTTATTATTCCTATTCTTTTTTTTAAATTTTTTTTTTATTTTTTGGTTTTATCAGTATTTCTCCCCTTATGAAGTTCTCGAGCTCGATAATTATCGTTCTAAGTATTCATCAGTCACGATTATTGTCAAACAATCTGAAAGCAATAGGAGTTGTTTCCGTAAACGATATCAGAAGAAAAAAAACCCTCATGTGAAAGGGTTGACAATTGTCGCTCATTCGGGTCATAAAAATTTCTTTGTATAAAAATGTTTCTGGTTCTGGCGGGAATTACGAAAAAGGAGAAAAGAATCCGACCTTTGTAATACTGTAAGATAGTAGCTATCGAATAAGGACAGTAGAGATCGATGTAGATCAGTCTGATTATGAAAATAATTTGTCGACGAACCTTATAGATGAGGATGTGCATGTCATACGTCTTGATTTATGAAAATACGAGGTCAGAAGATGGATATGTTGGAAAACTGAATGATTCGATGAGCTGCATCAGATCCTTTTCCTTTATTATTGTCGAGAGCTCTAATTACAACGTAAGGTTATCATAAAATAATAATCAACATTTAAAAAAGGATCTAAGATCATAAATTGAACATTAGAATGAATTAATTCAATTTAATAGATGTATTATTAATATTATATTATTGGTAAATGAATTTTCGAGACAAAGTTTCTATATTAAGGGATAGAACTCACGATAATTAAGGAAAAGGGAAAAATTTCAGGGTGCACATTAGAAAGTGCCATTTAGTTATATTTTTGGGGGGCTAGGTCGAAGCTGCGACTAATCCTAAAAAGCGTGTTTCTCGTTTATCTCGAAACGCGGCTCGTTTCCCTATCAATTACTAGAGGCCCTCTTATTTCTTCTTTTCTTTTGTTTCGAGTTCCTAATTGCATATTTCTCTTTCTCTTTCTTTCCTTTCTCACTCTCACGCTCACTTTCATTCTTTTTATTTAAGTACTCCACTGAACCTTAAGAATTTTCTTCGTAGGCCCATCTTTCTACCACAGAAACAAAAGGATCTCTTCTTCTCTATGATATGTAGGACGATGAAAGCTTTAGGGTAAAACCTACGACCTAATTATGCCCCTGCTCGATGAAGGATGGAAACGATCAAGCGCAGAACCTTGATCGGCGGATCCCTTTAAATCACTTTCAAGATTTTGTGGGCCCAATTCTGACTAATTTCTCTATCTTTCAAAACACCTAACCTAAAACGTTACAACCGAATGTTATTTATTATTTCCTAGGTTACGTGACAAGAAGTAGAAGGATGAAATCTTACATTTGGAGAGTCTTAATTGTCTCCGAGTCCATCGATCAGACAAGAAATCACTTTCCACCAGGAAGAAATGAAAAGAAGAAAGCGATCAAGACCGACCACGGCAAGTTCCTTGCTAGAAACTAGTTTCTAATATTCAAAGGAGGGCCCACATCTCGTTGCCATCATTCTGAATCCGTCTCTATCCATTTTTTCCTCTGCACCAGATAGAATGAATTCTGGCTTTGAGATATGTGTTCGCAGCTATTCCTTGGAGATAAGTGTCTTTCTACGTACAATTCACATAATTACACAAGAAGCTATACTCTTCTGAAGATAACTGTATTATGCACGGTCGTATCCAGTTCTGGGACCCTCACGCCTCTCAACGGCCTCCAAAACTGTACATCATGGATCAGAGAGAATATAACCTGGCCCCAGGACAGCCAGCTTCGACCCTGGTACGCGTGTATTCTGTGTATGTGTATATATATATATAATACTCTTCTCTTCTATTTTATCTGAATAGAATTGTGTCGCGCGCATCCGTGACCAAAGACCAAGTCCAAACACGTGACGAACGAGACTCTACTTATTTACAAGCTTCACTGATCTCTCCTAACTTCATCAACTTCTGCATCATCGTCATCGTCAACTTCTTCATGAATTGAGAAGAGAACGCTTCGTACATCGAATCCCCCGAGATGTGGGGCTCAGAAAACGACAGAAGAACCAAGTATTCTTCAAGAATATGCAATTATTCTTCCTAGTCATCTCCTTCTTTTTGTCTTTCTTCTCTGTACATAATTAACTCGTTGCTTGGTCTACTGACTCAAAGTATACATATATCTGTCTCACCGTTTCCTGTATAGACAACTCGACTACTTGCCAACTACTTACTATCCTGTGTGGCTGCTTCGTTTTTTTGGAGTCATTGAGCACTGAATACGTGGGAGTGTGAAGTTCGTCGTTTCTACGTCTACGTCATGGTGAACGACGGCTCGAGGAATTCGAATATCTTCTCCGCTTCGTTTTTCATCATCCTCATGTGACTATTCTCTAAGATTCGCGCTCTGAGAGCGCATTGTGCTGCTCACTGTGTCTCTTTCTCCAGGATCCTCCTCCTCATTTGAAGATCATCATCGTCTACCGGAAGGACGAAGGAAGAACAACGTAAATCGTAGCCAAGCTGGTTTCTGGAAATCGTCTCGAGGTTCACCGTGAGCTGTTTTCTTTGTCTTCCTCTTCCCTTTAGCTTCCATCCATCTCTTTAGGTGCTGCAGCTCTTTTTTTCTGCTTCTGGACTATTCATAGAAGGATTTGGAGAGGCGAAAGGTATATTTAGAGTCAGACTTTGGCTTTTTATTCTTCGTTGTAGCAATGAAGTAGCATTTCCTCTAAACTGACCTGCGTCTGATTTGAAAAATCCATTTAGGTCTAAAAGAAAATTAACGAATGATTGGAATACCTAATTCGTTTCTAAAAGTAATCTGATGCAACGCTGAATAGGATCTTCGTATGAATCGAATCGAGGAGACGAGTATTGAAGGTAGATCATCAAAGAAGTTTGTGTTGAATGATTCAGAATGAACCTCGTGACGATTCGAGGATTTTTGAGGAACGACTAGAAACTATATGATACGAACTACTTAAGTTTGAATCGTAGAAAGTCGATAGTTATACTCATTCGTTCATCTCTTCTTTTCTTTTTGAAACTTTCTTCCTTGAGAAATTTTTTTTTCAAGAGCGCAACAATTGCACTCTGGCTACTGTTTGCTTCTAAATCATAGAAAAACCATGGAAAAACTCTCTCAATCTCACTCCCTCTCTCTCGCTCTCTCTCACATTATTTTTTTTTGCTTTTTTTTTTAGAAACGTTTCAGTATGACAAACATGGTCCATCGTATATACGTAGTTCAATATATGTTAGCGCTAGGATTCGACGATTAAAAAGACCTGTATACGGGGAAATCAGAAACGATGCTGGTATTCACGAGTCATTGAAGAAGTTACGCGCTCCTAACCTCAAAATAATACCAAGAGGCTTTGTTGATACTTCTTCCTAGTCTCATTGTGCGGAATTAGTACTCAGAACCGTCGAATAGGTTACTTCTTCTTCTTTTATGTCTTTCCTAAGGTTTGAAAATAAATGTGTTTCGTTGATTATAAGCTAGCAAGGAATTTCGCTTCCTCAACAGTGAAACAGATGTTAAAAATTCTTTGTGCCTTTTCTCTCATGAAAGAAGTCTTGCTTTCCTCTTCTGCTCTTTTCTTTTACATATTTATTTTACAACTTCATAGAAATCTAGAGATAAGCTATTAGTGTTCAAATATTAATCAGTTTTTTATTTTCTTCTAACACATTACTCAAAGTGTAAAGGAGAAGATATAGAATTTAAAAATCACTATATTAACCATTCATTGAATCTTCTCTCTTTTGCAATGCATATTCTCCATATTTTCTCCTTTTCTATTACTTTCTCCTTTTTCAGTGAAAATTCGACGGCCCTGCTTCAGTGAATCGTGTACGCAGCAAGACAAACGCGCCTCCTTCTTTCAGATATTGGCGCGCTCGAGCTTATCAAAATAATCGGCCTATAAAATATCGCGGGGTTATCGTAAAGAAGAATAAAATCGCTCGAAGATCGTGTGCCACGGTAGAAAATACAAGCCGTTGGGTTCTTTTAGTTTTCTTCATTTCGCGCAAAAATTCGTCCGAAGAAACGTCTGCAGTCATGGTATTGGTTGTTCGATGAAACGCGATTGCGCAAGAGAATCAGGTAATGCGAGCATAATAAAAAATTAGATTCTTATATCGATATTACGCCCCTTGCTTCGTTTTTTTTTCTTTCTTTTCCTTTCATTTTTCTTTCACTCACCAGTCTATTCTACTTCGTTTTTCTTCCACTCTATTCTCTTCTCTACACATTGTAAATGAATGCTCACGGAAGTCATGAGTGGCTCTTCGACCCTCTTCTTCCTCAGAAGTTTCGTTGTGAATTATTAGAATCAATACCTTCTTCATTTTCCACAATTTTTTAAATACTTCTTTAGTTTATTTTAAGCAATTGCTCGCTGAGTCTTCTTGGAATGGAGAAGAAGAGGCCGACCGAAGATACCGAAAGAAAATACGATCTTCAGAAAGGAATTAGAGAAGTCGAGGCCACGAACTTGCAGTACATTGGGCTCAGTTCCTTCGTTCGGTTCTTTCGATCAAGGGGTTCCATTAATAACGATACGATGTCTTTCGAAGGATCTCCAGGCCATCATAAACGAATATTTCATTGCGTACGAATCGTTCATCGAAATGAAATGTCTTGCAATTGATTCAAAACTGATTGTCAAATTTTGCTTTCGGCTAGTCCATCTGTTGCTTCGGTATTCAGTTTTATATTATCTGCCCTTTGTTATATTTTATATTTCTTCATGCTCAAGAAATATAGAGAATGATTTCAGAAGTATAGATTAATCGGGCGAAGATAGAGGCTGATCAAAGAAACATTTTTTCTCTAATAGATATATATTCGATTTTGTTTTGTTTTCAAGTAGTTGACGTTTGAAAATGCGAGTATTTGGCGCCTAGCAACAAGTAATTTGCTTTATAAATAAAAAAAAAGGAAGCAAAATCGGACATACGTTTATTAGATAAGAAATGTTCTTTGCATCATCCTCTTCATTATATCTTACTTGATGAACACAACAGTCCACTGGAAATTCAGTTTCTGACAATTGGGTTCTCAAAGATTGCATTTCTAATGCTTTTTGTTTCCTTTAAATGCACCTTTTTCCAGACTGAACAAACCGAAAACGCTCGGAAAAGATACAAATGTGTGAAACCTGAATTTATTAACCTGGAATCCCTCATCAGACACGTACCAATCGTTCGATTCGAGTCACAATTAATAATTATGTATACGTAGCATAATATGTAGGTATAGGTATATATAACAACAGTCAATCATACAAAATTGCGGCAGTGTGCTTTCACGTATAATTGTAATTAATGGTACGCGTATTTCTGGGCGCGTGATTTCATCGTTATTACTAAAAATTAGGAACGTCGAGGAACGCCGGCCGCCGATAATATTCTGACAAGCTTTACATACTAAAAGTAAGGTTATCCTGGTTAATCTATAGACGGGCGATAATTCTTTTAAACATGGAAAATTCAACTTTTATATCAGCCTAATTATACAAAATCTTCTTGAGAAATTGTATATATAGCAATATTTTTATAAGGTCCTTTTTTAATTTCCATATAATTTTATGTTTTTGAATAGACAAATATAACCAAAAAAGTACAATATAAATAGGCTCGTTTCATCCTCTAAATAACGAGTGCTTTACCTAACATAAATTCAGAAATTGAAGAATTTCTAGTCAATTCATAAAACAGTATTACAATGTTTAAGAATTACGAACGTCAGTTTTATTATTGCATATTGGGTTTTAAAAGGTAATTCTTATATACATTTTATAAAAAATAAGCAAATATCTTCACGATAAAAATTTCTTCATGCAGCCCTGATCAAAGTTTCAGCTTATGTTTTTATAAATCCTTTACCTTGACAACTCAAATACACTTACTTTGCCTGATTTTACGCTCTCGCCATATTGTAGCTTCTTATAATTTTAGGTTAGGTTAGGAACACTAAGTAGACATCGCTACATATTCTTACAAAATGATGACAACGAGGGATCATACAGTACTTACACAATATAGAACTATTATATATAAATGGCACTAACATGGAACTAATGAATGGAATTTTAAAATATACGCAGTGAAAAGGAGGAATATAAAAAAGAAGGGACCGGCGTTCCGTGGCGCTTGCACATCGAACGATAGTGAAACAGTCGGGGGCTCGGTAAGATCGGAGATGTGGCTACGCGAATTATGGTACACAGACAATGAGCTATACAATGACCCTCGAATCTCGGCTACTCAAAACAAACACCGCCCCTGGTGACATCCTCTACCGAGATGCCGCCAATTAAACTAACACTGTGCGGAAAAAGAGAGCGCACTGGAGTATGCGATAGCATACGTGTAAATATATTATATGCATAGATATATTCTTGTATCGTAACAGCATTTTTCAATAAGTCAACAGTGATATATACTTATGACTCCGCACTGGTTTGTATCTCAAGCTTAACATAACCTAGTACGTCAAACATAGTGAATCTGTAGATCTACAGATCTCTTTCTTTATTATGAGACTCGAGAATATCCCTGGGATAAAATTGGTATATATCTGTTATGACACAATTACAATGCAGGCCCCTGACCTATTGGAATTTATGTGTGCATTAGTGTAATATTTGATCAAAAAGTAAAGTTCCATCTTCAGGAATAATTAAGATCAAAAAGCGACGTCACAGAGATTTATAGGATACCTTAAATTATAGCTTCAACTATCGCCAAATTGTAATATGGGCATCGTAACTGTAATATCATCTTGATCTGGTACTTTCCTTTAGATGACTTTTGTTTATGTAACTTCAGCGAGCTCAAAAAATCACTTTTCCTTCCTTTTTCCCTTCTTTTTCTCTTAAATTTCGGGTCATTGAATAGCAACAGAATTAAAACGAAGAGAATTAAAGGAAATATTGCATCATTATTTTGATGTATTATCTAATAGTATGAACTTCCAAGAACTGGAATGTTTTGTTGAAGAACGCTGATACGATAAGTATATCGTATGCCATTTATACAGATTGCATTCACTCACGAGGACACGAGCTGAGAAAGCAATTTCGTAGCAGTCAACCCCTTCAAGTACTAAATATTTTTGAACAGGGTGCTTTCATCAACATTGTCTTTGATACAGGATTGTTCTTAACTATAGAAAATGATATTTTTTGCCTTTCTTGACTAGATTAATAGTTTAAAATAAAATTTTGTTCACATAACCTCTCCAAAGGGCTAGTGAACATTCATCCTAATGTTACCATTATTCATACACGATGTATTATTTATACATTATTTATATAGGGTTGAATAATAGCTTTATTCAATCGAAGGAAACTCCTGTACTTAGTCTTCAGCAGTATGAAAAAGTGGTGTTTATTAAGAACTACTGCTTGTAATGGAAATAGCTTCCTTGCAATTCTCTTGTAACTTCGAACAACTTATGTTTAAATTTACAAAAAGCTATTCCCATTATGTGACTGGACATTAAGTACTGTATTAAACGTTTGATCACCACTTTTCTATACCACCCGAAATGGTAAGAATATTTAAATTGAATAAAGTTACTATCTCGTGCTGAATGAGTCGCTGGAAATTGTCATGTGAAATAACTTTTTACTAATTTAAAAGAAAAAATGTTTCCAACCTTTCAATCATTGAAATTGAAACATTTTATTATTTAATTGAAATTCGTGTTTAAGTTAATAAAAATTAAATTATTCTCTTCCTAAATCGATCAACAGGAAAGTTAATTTAAATGACAACGTCTGACGACTCATTCTGCATATACATATATACATATAAACGCTTATTTAAACATATTGTTACGAACACACGGTAGATTTTTGGGAATTTAGTCCTGTTTGAGAAGATATCGTCAAATAACCGTATGGCGCTAAGCATTGCCAGTAGCGATACTAGCGCCACGGGTACCATAACTAGTTTAGTAAGGAAGTGCAGCAGGATTCTAATGAACAAAGCTATAAATATAGAAATATAGATGCATAGTTTGCACGAGAATAAATGAAAATAAAGACTAGAAGTTTGAAGTTCTATTTAATAATAAAAATTATAGCTATGGTGTTCATTGGGATAGATTGTGTGCTGAGTTTGTAGTGCAGAATACAGGAATTGGGAGTGTTTTGGGATGCGATGGAAGACATATAATAGTTATGATGCCATTTAACTAATTGGAATTTGTCGCAATAACCATACTAAAGTGAACATTGGGTTCATTAATTTGAGGACTCAGAATACCTCATTGACATATAAACGCTTCACTAATGCACTTCTTACTCGTTCCAGGTGAGGATAAAATAAGTGAAATCTCAAGGTAGATTGAGAACTTGTTTTCCATATTAAAAGCTAGATCAAAAGAATAATAAGCTTTAAATGGGACTACTCATTAATTACCATGAGGTCTACTTAAATCTACTGTCTGTACGCAACAATATTATACTAACTAACCATAATGACAGTAACAATAGTCAAATAACGACTCGTGTCCCCGTTGACGAGATCGTAGAACAAACGAACCCCGGGGAATACCCTGACCGAAGGGTGGTCTCTCTCCCGGCTCGTCCTCTTCAAATGCTTGCTTCTTCACGTACACAATTATAATACTGGCTATGTTTTTTTAATCGTTTAGAAGTTTACAATTAACCGTTTAATTATTATCGTTTCTCGGTGAGTTTCTATTCATCTACCACTGGCTCTCCGCTTTTATTCTGATCCAATCTCTCCTTTATCTTTCTTCTCCGTTCGTCGGTTTGCTATTGTCAACATGTACAAGAAGTCATGGAGTCGGTTCCTCGACTCCTGTCGCGCTGAACATTATATATATTATGTATAACTTTATCGTCTGCGTGCACCTATACTTTGCATCTTATCTCTCATCCTTCGTTTTTTTTCAATTATTTTCTTTTCTCCTTTTACATATAATGCATGTATATGTGCGACGCAGCTGTCGTGTACATCAGCAGTTCCTTTGTGTTTTGTATACGAGGGCTAGCTAACCTCTAAGTAATAGTTTTTTTATCAAAAGCACATGTATATCGTGACTAGCCTATGTGTGTATATATAATATGTATATATATAGTATATTGTATATAAATCGACCGTTGTGTCTGTGTGATTCATCATCTTCATATTTCCTTATATGTCTCTACGTGTGTGTATGTCTCTTATTCAACTTTTCCTTTTGTGTGTGTATGTTTTCTCTTTGGTTATTTATTCTTGTTTCATCTCCTGTCCTCCTTGTATATCGCTCTCTCTTTTCTTCTTCCATCGCCAGTCAGCGTGATCAGTTCTTGTCGCCTTTCTTCTTCTGCAGCTAGCTTCGCCGGTGAAGAAACTCTTCCGGAACTTTTTCGCGTGAGATCTCAGTCTCGACCGGCCGGGAAACACCATGAACTTTGTTGAAAAATCGACTGGAGAAATGGTAGAGTCTCTCCTTCAGTTGAGGATGTGCGCGGTGAATCGCGAGATTTCCTTTTTGCATTCCATTCGTATCCCTTTCTTTGCTGTTCCAATGCATTGGACATTATCTTCTCAGTCGGTAAAATAGATTTGTGCATAATTTAGGACGCAGGGAATGTTTAGAGACGTTCACTGTCGTACAACTATTCACTCGTTGCCTCCTTTCCTCTGTTAGTTTCTTGTCTACTGGCTCCATTTTTGCTTGATCAACCGTTGGGTTTTTGAAAGAAGCTTTGACTGATCTCAAGATAGAATAGAAAAAAAGTTCAGCTGGTTGATAATCTTTCTGGCATTTGTGCTCGAAGAAAAGTTCAAAAACCTTGCAATATTGACTCTTCAGCTGCGGAAGAGAGAATTATTTCCTCTTGTATATGGCGACTTATTTCATTGGTTGAACGAGACCAAAATTATCTAGGAGTCAAATTTTGTGCAAGAAGTTTCAAACTAGGAACCCATTACAGTCTTTGGTCATTGTGAAATCATAATATATATCGCAGCTAAAGAGTAAAATCTTCTTCTAAATATTAGTACAACTTTCGATTAGTTCATTTTCTTTGGTTTAGGTTTTGTTTAGTCGTATTATAAAACTTGCAGAAGGCTTTCAGTCAGTCGTCAGATCGTCAATTTCAGCGTTGAATCTCGTTTTTTCGCGAAGATATTTTCTTTAACGAATATTCGCAGTGGTCCCATTATGCGCGCCATTTCGTCTCGGAAACAATGATCGCTTATATTGTGCGTCTGGCGACAAATATTCAGCCTCGTTCATTGTATAAATTATATGTTCTTCAAATATAATATATATGTGCGATTTGACGCGCTGACTGCCGCAGAAAACATCTATAAATATTTCAAAACACAACGTTACGCAACGAAGAGAACCATTTTCCTAACACAGCCAACAATAATAACATTCAAGGAAAAATTATTTCACTAGGTAATACAGCATCGATTAAGATTCAAGTCTTTGGTTTTCGCTTCTTTGCTGCTCTACAAGTAGCTGGTACCTATTAAAAATTGAAAAATCGTTTCACGATACAAGTGTTGTTCAAGTTAGATACAAGTTAGATACAAGTTAGATTCCTAAATCAAAGCAGTCAACGCGTTAAATATCTTTGAGAAATTAGAAGTAGAAAGTATATCTTCTTTTTTTCAGCTTTCGTCAACACATCATGAGAATCTTTGATTAAAATGAAACAGAAACTCTTAACATGTTTGTTTATCATTTCATACAATTCTGAATGATAAGCTGTATCTTAAGAATATAACCTCTCTCTCTTTTTTTTAAACAATTTCAAACAAACACACTTGTGAGCAACAAAACCCTTTCAATCCTGTTCCAACAGACTTCAAAATCCATTATATTTCTATTACAAGTTTCATTGTCAGTCTCTTAATACGCATGCATCAGTATTGGGCAAGATTCAAACCTAGCCAAACTTTCTTCAAATAATAAATAAATTTAGAGAAACTGTAAGCAGACTTTGAGCCTGTTTACAGTCTATTTCAACAATTAACAACTAACAACTAGATAATCCAGGTAATTCCTAGTTGAACAAATTTTAACCTTTCGATGTATTCATTATTTCATGCCCAACACTGTTCCTTAGTAATCTCATCTTCTTAAAAAAAAAGAGAAGAAACGCAAGATTCTCCAAACTATCGGTAAAACGAAGACGTCGAAGTTATCCAGGGCGCACATCCCCGATTAAATCCTCATATTTTACGAGACTCTAATGCGTATTGGGTACGTGCTAATGTCGATCGTCATCGCTGGCCTCTGCATCACCCTCGACGCCCTTCTCACCCTCTTCAGGATGTGGTGTATTTCCCTCCTCGGTGTCGACGCTGCTGGTCGGCGTAATCTGTTCTGTTCCAGGACCAGTCGAGTTCGCTGTGGCCCCTTCGTTGTTCTTTTCGAGTCCCAGGCCGCCCAGGAGGCTTTTGTTAATCGGTTCCGGCGAGGCTTCCGACTCCTCGCTGCTAGGTGAACCGGGAGACGAGACTATCACCTATATGAACAGAGACGCCGTATCACCAGCGTCGTTTTCCATTAATTACGCAATCCTTGGACTCTTTTTGCGTGCTTGTGTTTGATAAATATTAACCCTTCGCACTCTATATATGGTGATTTTCTGAGGTTTCAGGTCTGATTTTCTAGGCTTGAATTTTGAATTGAATAAACATATGTTTGTTCAAATTGTTGCACAAAGGGTTAAAGAACTTGTGGTGTGGCTGTGTGCAAAATGAATTCTGTATTTCTATTGTGAAGGTTCTGCTCAAGGATTGTTGAAGCATAAATCACTCTCATAATAGAGGTGACTTTTAGTGACTTGCTTTTGATGAGTGAGATATGGTCCTGGGATGTATGGAAATAAATGTGTTCACCTATGTAGAATGAGACATCTATGATTTGAGTTGTGTGTGTAATATGCATAGAAAAATTGAAAGTACCGAAACCTAGATGCCTCATCTTGGTTACTATATTCTATGTATCTGATGTATACTTCACAATTGAAAGGATGTCCATTGGATAAGAATGTTTGGGAATTGAAAGGATATATTGTTCTTGATTCCAGTTTGAAACATTTTAAATTAGAAAGGAGGTATTGAATTTAATCAAGTTTATGATTTACAATGTAATGTCAAACCAGATTCAAGAAGCAACACTCAAGGTGCAATTAATGCATGCTTGGAGCACTAATGATCCCTCAAACTATCAGTTGCTAAATAGTTTTCAGAGATGGAGTGGTTGCTTAATTAAAATGATTCCCAAGAGGGATCATTTTTCCTATACTCTTTCTCCACTTTGTCTCTTAATTAAGCATAAATATATATCATGAGAGATGATACTATGTTGAAAGAGTACTAGACACTTTATGAATGAACATTTTTACATTGATCAAAAACAGACGCACTGTCAAAGTATTCTTCACATTAAGATCTTGATCAAGAATAGTCACTTCATAAACTGTATAAACATTTTGAATGTAATAGTTTTTAAGGGAGAACAATTCTATCTTTTATAAATATTCATATTAAATAGTTTTTGATCTACCATGAGTTTTCAGACATTGGATATTCCTGATCTTTGCAATCAACTAAAGGTATTTATATATTTTCATGTACATCAGAGTCTTTGATATACACACTGTAGTCATAGCTGTTGTTCGAAACGACTCTGTGAAACTGATGAAAGCTAATGGATGACTGATTACTTGGTTCTTTAATATATATATATATATATTTTTTTTTTTGATAATCTGGCCATGCATGTGATAGAACGATAACTAAAGGCTGATGTAAAAAACGCGAATGAAAACGATAATAACGATAATACCTGTGCAAGAAGCGGCGTCTCTGTGCTGTCAGCGGTTTGGTAGAGCCGGCAATTTGCGTTTGCTCTGAAGAATACGTGCCCAAACGAAAAAAGATAAAGAAGACAACGTAAATCGTCACTATAATGGAAAGACGTCGAGAGACTGGCGCAAAGAGAAACGGAAAAATCATAACCGACCCGCTCGACCAGTAGAACACCCAAGTAAATGTACAGAAGTGACATCGAGACATGCACGGAGGCGTTTTTGGTAATTGTGGTATCATATTTACACGGACGCATCGCGACGTGATTGTTTTGCAAACTGTTTGCCACCCATTATAACCTCTTTTCTTTATATTTTTTCGTCTATACACCTTCGTTTTGATCATGCTAAGATAACATAGCCTTCAGGGCGAACAATTTGCAATGGCCGACGATCCTCGAGAGTTAACCTGAAACCGACACGATGTAAATGAATGAAAGAACGTATATGAATGAAAATATGTGAATAAATGAATGGAACGAACTTGTCTCATTGAGTAGCGAATACATGATTCGTGATCATAAAAGCGCGACAGGGCTTGTTTCTGCGAAGCGAAAATAAAGGGAGAGAACAGAGTCTTTACTTTGCCTACCATGCTGTTCACAACACGCTTCAGATAATACACATATGTGGGACACGGATAAAAAAGCAGAGAGCGAGACGAGACTCTTGTTCAATTCTTTTCTTTTCTTTTTCCTTGAAGCGTTTCGTTCAACTTTCCTGGTCTTTCTTCCACTTCACGTGGTCATGATATTTTTAATTAATATGTATATAAGGAAATGGCGAAGAATCTTGGACCAGGAAAGCTCTGATTTATTATTTCTTTAACCTTCTTCCGCCCATCCTCTGTACTTTTACTCTGTTAATTACAAATTAAACGAAAATAAACACATTACAGTACTTACAGTAGTCTTCATATAAAGTAATCACATTTGAAGAATATAAGGTGAAGTAGATGATAAGACATATTTCTTATCTTTTACACGAAGGTAATTACAAAATTTAAGATACTGTCAATCAATCCCATTTAAACAAAATTCTCGTTTTATTTGATCTTGGAATTAAATATAAGTTTCTCTCACCCCCTGAATATTTTAAAAATTCCAATTGTCATAACATTACTTAGGCTCTTGGCGTTTCACAACACTTCGTGGATTCATCGCTTACTTTTATAAGATCTATAACTTTAATTTAGAAGATTGTTCCCTTTTTCAACTGTCATATTAAAGAATCACTTCCATAAGTGATCCATAGCTGATCATTTATCTGGAGAATAGGTTAATTGTAAAATTCTCCAGATAACGTAATTTATTACAGTTTGTTATAATAATGCATTAATTTATGCGACACAAAAATTTCAAACTGTTGCTTAAGAAGTGGACCAAGAGGGTCTGTACTTTTAAGGTGCTTTCTGAGATATTTAGACATCAATAGCAGTGGAGCAAGTGCACAGACAGAGGAAGCGACGGTAAGAGAGGCAAAAGATTGCAATGAACATTGTTGAGATAAACCGAGAGCTCTAAATAGAACACTGACCTGGCGAGGCTTGACCGGTGGTGGAGGACGAGTGGAGGGCGCGAGGGCTGCGGTTGCTGCCGTAGTTGGGGGCTGTTGATGAAGTGAGTGTTGAGGCTGCCAGGGCAGCCCTGTGCGTCCCAATGTTCCCTGCAGTTGCTGTTGCACCTGTTGCTGAGCCTGCTGCTGGTGCTGCAGTTGCTGTTGACTGCTGTTGTGCTCGACTGTTGGCGTAACTCGAGGAAGCGCCGAAGCGACTGAAGAAATCTTCCGAACTGTCTGTGAAATGAGCGACTGATTATTCGGCTCCTATTTTTTCGGTTCAATTAATTTAAACTACGACTCTAATTTTCGTACGTGAATTCAACGATAAAGCTTTGAAAATGCCTAATAAGTTGCAGATATTATATAGACTGCAAATGGCTATAATGAACATTTCTATTTTTATATTTGTAGTAGCTTTATAGTCTTTCAGTTATAGTTTGGAGATTTTATATTTTAAATTTCTCATAAATATATAAACATCTGCAGTCTAATTCTAATATTACAAGCTACTTTGAGTTATATATTAATAGTGAATTGGGATTACGAAAGTCAATTGTTAGGAATGACGACATTACCTGACTTAACAGGCCAAATTTCAAGAAGATACTTGAGAACTGCTATTGGTTGTTGGAAATCCAAAGGCGGCCCGTTCTCTTCAGAATGTAGCATTAAAACTGGTCCGAAACAGACTGCCAAACTTGCTGGTGACATCTTATTACACTGTGATACTACCATTGCCAGATGGTCCAGCAAGTAGATTAACGTACACTGTTGAAGGGACAATTAATTATTATTTTCTCTAGGTATATGAATGGGAAGTTTGAGATTAGATACTTACCCTGTTCACCTTTGGTAAACAGTCAAGTATACTGAACATGAGTTTTGCGTTGCCTTGTGGATCATCCGGTAGACAGACGGCCAATGCATCGACCATCATCTGATAGAGGCACCTCGTGAAGAGTGGTTCTGGAAGTTCTCGCAAGTAATCCTTCAGTACACCTAAACAATAATTATAGATTATCATTACAATCAAAGTGTATCTCCTACATTATTATTATTAATATTAGAAATAATTATTAAGGGAAGTTTACCAGTAATCACGTTGATATCTGGTACATTGTCAGGCGACAGGTTCACTGAACGAGCATTCCTTTCAAAAGCCTCCCTAAGTATCCTTTTTTTCGTAGCTGATCCACAGAGCCTGTATAGACCTGAGCCCCCAAGTTTTCATTGACAAACTGTCCAAACTCAACAGTATAGAAATTGAACTTTGTAAATGGTAAAAACATATCTCACCAATGATGTCAAGACCTCTTCTTTCAACTTCTTCGACACAACGCCATACAATTATGGGCACATTTGGAACACCCATCGCTAGGGCGGTAGAAACACCTCCAGGAACTCCACCAGTCTTGCTCTCTCGACTCACCTAATCAAAATCATCATCATTTTTCAAATTTATATATCGTAATTTCAAAATTTTGAACTTACCACTGTGTCAAGGTCAACTCCGAAAAGTGGCGCCACTCTGGTAGCCAGAGATATGACTGGGAGCCCTCTCCTTCGGAATGTTTGCTGAGCATCCGTATATCTCAGTCTTAGATAAATTGTGCCACGTGGTTCGACTTTGACAGCTAGCTGGTGAACTGGTGATTCTTTCAAAAGGGTCGCCAGGTGCACAGATCCTTTGTAACAAAGCTTGTGCCTGTACTGTGGATCCCAGGAATAGACCAGCAAGTCTAACTGCCGGTTGCCAACGAGATCCAGCTCGAAGGTTTCGTCCCAGTCGAACATTAAATCGCCAGTTCGCATCACTGTCCTCGCCTTGTGCACCCTATCGCACTCCAACACGCAGTAAAGGTCTCTCAAGCCGCAACTAGCTGTTATGTTATCCAAACAATAAAGATATTCCGCCATTTATCAAATTTATATATGGTAACTTTAACCCTCAAGCTTTGATCCTTAAAGGTTTCTGTAAAAGGAATAGCTCGAGACTTAAAGACAGTACATAGTACTATCGAACACTTTCTAACATTCGAGAGTGTCAGGTAGTAGGAATCACTACAGATTTAAATTAAAAATAATTGAATTTTAAATAAAGAAAATAGAATAAAACAGAAATAATTTAATTTTGCTAGATATTATGTTAATGCGAATAGTGATTGTGCAGTGGAGAAATAGTCTAGGGGATGTGCAGACTCCCGAACGTACCTAAATTAGGCTGACCTGATGGTGTGGAAGGAGTAGTGGCCGCTGAGGAGGATGTTGTTGAACGGAGGCCACGACCTGCCAGAAGATGGACCCAAAGTAGTCCACTAACACCACCCGCCAGGTCACCGCTGCTGGTTTCCCCGAGCGAGCTCAAAAGAGAGCTAGTCGAGCTCGGAGTTCCCACAGTCGGAGGTTTTTCTATCTTATACTTAAGGAACTCTGTACAAAAGACATTATGACCTTAATTAAACTTTTTACTGTCAAAATTGATTTTAATACTCACCTGCAGGATTAATATCTAGCAGTCTTTGATCCTGAGTTCTGGTAGGTGTGGGGGTAGGTATGCTTCGGGTGGACTCCAGGTCTAGCAGGTTCCTGATTCTTCTGACCGACGTTGCCCTCTGGGTGGTGGAGCTGCTCAGTGACGGTTTCTGACTCGTCAAGGACGTACGAGCACTGGATGCAACCGAGGCCGGTCTTGGGTTCGCTGTTCCACGATGACACGTCGAGCTGATCGCTGTCGATGCTCTTAAGTTGGCAAGATTCACTTGCTGAGCAGAGGCTGATCTTGTTGACAAACGATCCAGCGTGCTGGACAATGGTCTGTACGTCCCATAGCTTCCATATTCACCCTAAATTTTAAACAAATTAGTCAAAATTTAGAAACTGATCTAAAAAGTTTATCAAAAAAGAATGTAATTTTTAATGTATGTTATTTACTTGATTTACAGCTGCGTGGATGTTCTCTGCGCTGTAAGTGTAACGTGGTGGTCTAGTCGTAGTGGCTCTAATCTGCTCGTACAATGCACTGGTACTCGGCGTTCGACTCAGCCATGCTCGGTACTCATCTGATGTGAACACACTGGGTGATGACGGTATTCTTCCTGACATTCCAATCAATAGAATTCTCAATTTTATGTTCAAAATACTAGAATCGACTCGCTACTTGAATTTTAAACTAACCTCTATCGCGTCTAATGGAAGGTAGTTCGGGCGCTGATAGTGCTCCGTCACTATCTTCCTGATCTATTAGTCCAGATGCTACTGTGCTAAGTCCAGACCTGAGACCTGGTTGCTGGGGCAACGTTCTGCCACTACGAGGCAACGAATTCGATCTCAAGCCTAGAGAAAGCATAACTTCAATTTTAAAGTCTGTTCACGATCACACATGAGGAACTAACTTTGTTAAGATGCAGAAGAAATAACTAACCTGAGGAACTCTGACCAATCTGTGATCTCGATAGGGTGGCAAGATGCGAGACAGCGCTACTCTGAGGCGGATTGTTCATATTGTGCCTGTAGTAATAATACGCCGATTTGGGCGAACTCGAACAGGTTGCTTCAGTGTCTGAAGCATAATCCAACGATGGTCGGTGCCTCCTGGTTAGGGTACCAAATTGACCTTGTCTCTGAGTAGTCGACGTACTGTCTCCCTGAGTGCCATATCTGGTGTTGTATCTCAACGCAGATGTTCCTGTTAAAGAAACGTCACAAAATATGAGTCTAAAGTTAGGAAAACAGTTGCGTAAATGATTTTAGTGGAAAGTGACGGACCTGACTTCAAGCTGGATCTAAGAAGAGTATGTCGAGCTGGAGTGGTGATACTTGTGTAATCAACGCGAGGTAAATGTTGATCTGAACCGCTTCTAGGCATAATTCTTCCACTTCCAGAGTGTTGGCCATAACCATAATGCGATGGCTGAGTCTGACTAGACAATCTGCTGCCAACCGACTGCATCCCTGCGCCCGTGGACATTCGACGACCACCATTTGAGGGCATAACTGGCCCCGTGTAGAAGGAGTGTACCTAAATTCAATCGAATTAATTAATTTATGTTCCTTCTTTTACAATTTTCTTTTATTTTCCTTTCATATCACAATCGATTATTCGTATCACACTCGATCTGTATTTTTTAATAGAAGATATTTACGTTATCTACACGGATAGATTAGGAAGTCAATTGTGATTAAAGGAAAATATAATTAGATATTGCCATCATGATTGATAGATCTCTCTATATAGATTATAATACACTTTACATAGAAATCCACATATCACTATGATGGACTATGACGACCACGGATCGCCACGAGAAGAGACAATACTCAGAAAGAAAGAAAAAGAAAGAACGAACATACAGAGCAAAGCTTACAAGGCAACAAAAAGTGGAATTACGTTATAAGTAGCGACGGTTGTTTTGTTCACCTGGACATTGAAAAGTATTTATTGTTTTTGTTTAATTTTCTATTATTAAATCTTTTACATTACTTCTTCTTCCTAATATTATGGATATACAGAGTATAAATACTTGTCCATTGTCCAGGTGATGCACGGTGCAGGGAATTGCTGCATACACAAGTCTAGATATCAAGAAAGAGTTAGTGGTTTCTTTACCTTTGTGAAATCCTGGTTAATATCAACGTAGCATTCATTCATAGAACCGATTAGTCATGTGAAACACGTGGTCGAAACACGAGCGAGCTGCGAACCGTCTACTCTCTAAGTCAATTTCAGACAATCTTTCAAGCAATTTAATAAAAGAAACTCGTGGTATTTTGTTTTATTTAGAAGGCTTTGAAATCGAGACGGTGCACAGCATTACTGATCACTATCAGGAGTGTCTCGAGTCATTGCCACGAATTCACCACTTTCTTATTCGAATCGCTATCGCAATTGAAGACAGAGAAGGGCAAACAAGTGTCAACTTGGTGCAGACAGGTATATGAAAGGGTGCTCGATCCACATCGTCTAGAACATCTATGTGATCTATATTCAAACGCAGGTGGAGATTTAATAACAAAACGCCAAATTGTACATCAAGATCTTGCATTCTTCTCTAATATCGTAACTTTTACGGTGGTTAAACTCCCTTTCCTATATCTTCCTTGCAAAGTTTATCAATATCAATTTCTTTTATTTTCTCAATCTTAATTCTTGCTTGAACTTTATGTAATCGAATGTTTTTCATTTAATAAAACCTCGACCTGCGTCAAAGTCCCGAAGAGCAAGTAAAACATTACACAGGCTTACTTTTTCAGCTAAACTCTCCAAAGTTTTTGGATATCCACGCTCATAAGGCTGGAAGTGTTGCGTCGTAGAGGGTTTTGGCTGATGTGTGATAACAGGAGGTGGTGGTGGTTGATACGACCAGTGTCCCTCCGGTCTGGAGTTGTAGTATAGGTCACCGTTGCTGGAACCTAGGTCTTGACTGGAGCCTAGACCCGAAAGACCTAATCTAGACCGGGAAGGTAGCATCTCACGACCGTCGCCACGCCTACGACTGCCATCCCTGGAATCAAAATATAAAAACTGTATCAACTTATGATTACAATCAACAAATGGAGTTTTAATTAGATTCTAATGGAACTTACAATAGATCAGTCCAAGCAATGTGGGTAATAATTAAAGTTCCCAGGATGTAAATAGCAAAAGTTTGATAAATATCTAAATAAGTCTTTCATCGTAAACTTTTTTTATATTTAATTATTTGAGAAATAACAGGCTTGTAATTATCTCAGAAATCAAACAAATATTATTGTTCTTTAAAAACTGTAAGAAAATGACGAGATTAATATTGGGACTGAGAAAAGATCTCCTTCTCTGGGTAGCCATATTTAATTCCTATCTAGAATTGTTTATTTTTTACAATTAGTATAGCATACGTGTACATGTATATGTAATTTCACAGAAGATGTACTTGTAAGTACCAGTAGAATTCTAAGTATATTTGATACTATAAAATATTTTTGAGATATAATTACCTGACGTGGTTACTCGTTGCATGGTCGCTCTCATCTTCATTTAGCTCCCTCTTGATCACCACAACCGGAGGCGCTTTGTGCTCGGTCTGACGACTATGTGAGACTGGCTGGTGCTGGCCATGCCTAGTCGCCAGGACGAGCCTCCTGGGTATCGACATAATGATCACGACATCGTCCAGGCTCATGTGCGTCACATCGACCAGATTCACTGCTAGGATTTCATCCCCAACCTAAATAAAACATATTTTTATATAAATTATTTACATAAAATATTACTAAATTTAGAAATAATTATGATTAAAAAAATAAGAATCTTTCCTTTATACATAGAAGATAAAATAAGAGGAATATTCTGAAAGAAAAGGACTCATAGATTTATGTTAAATATAAGCTATCAAATAGTAGATTAATTTTTCTTTCTACGAATTTATTCTATTCATTGCCTTGTAAATCTTCTTTTCAGATAGCTGCTCATATATATTTTGGAGAAGAAATCAGTGAGTCTCATGATTTTCATTCCCACAAGAATAAGTGCAGTAAGTGGTAAGCTCAAATTGGCTATATTAGAACTGCAATTAAGGATTCAAGGAAAAAGATGCTTCCTAACCTTCAGGCAGCCGCTGTTGTAGACTGCGGTCTCCAGGGCTATCCTCGAGATAAAGACACCGTCGTTTCTGTCGACGCCATTGCCTTCCCGTATGTACAACCCCAGCGTCTGGCCTGGCCTTTTGATTATCTCGACAAAGTGGATGGGATGCTTTGGATCCTAGAACATCATAGAAATAATAAAATATTTCTTATAAATAGTACTTCAAAAGCATTATGGGAAAAAACGGGAAAATTTGTTGGTTAAATTTATTGCTTCATTATATAGTGGCAACTAAGTTATGAACTAATAAATTACTGTCTTAATATTGGATTTTTTTGTGTTCAGAAGGAGATACGTGGGACGAAGGTCGATATTGTGCTTTTCTTAGATGACGAAATGGCGATAAGAAGATATATATGGAATAAAAATTCTCTTCCGGCATCTTAGAAGATCATTTTTTAAGTCTAAACTTTTTTTTACAAAGATCTTTTATATTATTATAGCCTTTAAGGAATATTTTTCAAGTTTGAAGCTTCTTTCATTGTCATGTTATTAGTTAGGAAATTGAGATTTCGTCTTCATAGATGAAGAAATAGGTTTAATTTTTCTTATTCAATTGGGAATTTGGTATGGTGTCGCACCTGCATAGCAATGAACTTCTTCGCCGCCTCGGACGCCTGTCTGCCCATCTGTCGTGGCTCGATGACTCGGACGACCATCTCACCCCTTCGTTCGACAGCTTCGAGGGCCGCTGCTGTCGAGGCGTCATGATCGTTCTCGACGGTCTCGATCTGTTTGAAGATCTCTGTGCTGATTCCACTCACCTGCAACGACAGGTCCTTCCACTTCAACCAGCATGTCATGAACAGGCACTCCAATAAAAAATATTCCATGAAACTGTTCCAATAAGCATTTCTAAAAAAATATTCTCCAATTCATATTATACTTCTAAAATTTTTGATATTAATATTATAAATTTTAATATTCCAAGAAAAATATTTCTCAATTCCAATAATTATTCTTTTAAAATATTCGTCAACTAATATGTTTTTCATAAAATTGTAATTTCAACATATCTATAGCCTAAGTATTTCTTAAATTCTCTCTGTTCCTTTTTATAATGGCTATAGATTGTTACATATATTGTTGTTAGAGTTATTGCTGAACAGCTTCATGAAAAAGGTAAATTGGCCTGATAGTTTCCTCTAATCTGATTCCCTGTTCCTGTTGCTTTCCTCTGTCTACTCTCATTTTTGAAGTAATTGGGTTTATCAAGTGCTTCCTTGGAGACCTAATCATCCCCTTGGATCAGGATATGTTTGGTCTGGAAAACAGCAGGATATCTAGCTTTTCCTATGGGACATTGTAAGGAACCAGGATTTTAATCTCTTTCACTGACAAGAAGGTAGGATAATCAGGAGAAAAAAGATAAGATTTTAGTACATGTATATAGATTGCTGGAGAGCAAAGATGTCATGGAAGTCAGTACCTTTCTGAAATCTCCCTGAATCACCATGGGGGGTGGTTCCTTGGGGCGCAACTGGTTGGCAGGTGCTTGCCTCCCAGGACTTGCGCTGATGTCTGTCACTTCCCCCCGGCCCTCCTGCATCAAAATTAATGTACAATTAGTTTCACTTTTGTAATCTATTTTGTATTATTAATGTCTTGGGCAAGCTAATAGGTATTCATAAAATTGTATAAATTGGCAAAATAAAATTTGGTATTATAATCAGTATTACTTCTTTGCAATACTTTTCACGATGTAACCGCGCTATTGATTTGGAACATAATGTAAGAGTAGCGCTATTGTAAGGACTTTTCATCATACAGGATTCCTGACTTCATTATGGAGACGCTGCAAAGCTATTCAAAGTATCATAAATGAAAAACATAGGAAAGTATAAAGAAATTTGTTGCGATAAACAGAAAGGAAATTTCTAATTCATGTCATAAACCTAGGATCATGCGTCTCCCTAATTGATCCTCAATAAAATCACGAATAATCTTGGAAAGAAATCAAAGGAAGTTTCGAAGTACTAAGAGAAAAATTACAGGGGGACGAAAATAACAAATTGAATTTTTAAAGATAAACATAATAATGGAAAATGAAAATGTTTGGTGCACGAAAGGTATCAGGGGGATTTCCCTATCAGCTTAAAAGCTACAGCAAATCGGGCTAAATGGGAGGGGAATTTTCTTCGCGGCGGTTGCATGCGAGATTCAATCAGTGTGCTGATTAGAGGCTCGTAAAAATTGCAAGCGTTCTCTTTCCCAGCCGGCTTTTACCTGTGAAATTACGGACAATCAGAGATGCACGCGCTTCAGAGGATCCGCCGAAAATAGAAACCGCTTTGTCGGTCACCGATGCAAAGGCGCCTACTCACTACTACTCACTGCTGCCAACCCAGGGCCGGGAGAGATAATAATCAACCCCGTGCAAACATCGGTCTACCATCCTCAATTTTCTCTTTTCTCCTCGTTCAAACGAAATTAGACGGCTTATTATTAATTCAGTTTCCAGAACCACGGATTTAATTGGTTGCTAAATTTTGCATGACTAATTTGGAAATTCTATAGCAATTTGTGATGAGATTGTAAATTGATTCAGATTGGCCCCCCTCGCTCTATATTTTACAACATTATTGGTAAAAGTAGAGATTCTACAGTAAACTTCATATTTTCCTACTATAGCTAGTAATTAAGTCTTTGGTTATGGTATTTTAGGAATTAAACAGAGTTTTGATATATGAATATGTAGATTGTCTCTAGAGTTTCTATCCCATCTAGTCATTTCTAGGGATAAAAACCTACTTGTATATCCAGTTGATAATTAGAAAACCCCATAGATTTGGTCAATTCACAAATGCACTTTCTATTTGGAAACTGGACCAATTTGGAAATCAAATTGAGCTAAGTATAAAAATCATTTAACCTGTGCTTAAATATTCCGCCAGTTGATCGTTTCTTCATTGGAAGATACTTCACAGTGTATAGTGAATTGCCTCAATTGTACACATCTTGAAACCAATAAGCTACCTTGAGCTGATCAGGCTATGCAGAGGTTCCGTTCAATGCTAAGAAACTGTATGCACAAGTACCTTGACAGAACTCATTAAGAGTAATAAACAATGCTGGGGAATCAACCGCTTGTTACAAAAGCTGCTTTAATTACAATTAGCCAGAAATGGCAACGTTTCTCTCTTGTTCTTTTATAGGACTTAAATCTCCATAAAGATTCTGCTACTTTGCCATTAATGAGTAATCTAGCTGTGGATGTGATTATATGATCAATATGTCATGGTCTTCCTAACTTCTAACAAATTCATAGACAAATTTATACAGTGATTGTTAGTTAATTACTGAGGTTTTTAGGAACAATACCCAAAAATTTCTGAATACGATAGCATTCAATATTCAAAATTCAATATTAAGAGCATCAATTCAAGAACTTTGAACGACATTGTTAAAGAAGGAAAATTATTTTCTCAATATTACTTCTAGGCCAAAAGTATATTGTATTATATACAGTATCCCACACAGCATTCCATATAGGAATTCAGATGAGAATCTCAGAGAGTAATAAAGATATTAATCATAAGCTTTAAAATTTTCTCTTCCGATGAATGCTGTCATCCACCGATCAGAACCCAGTTAATCTCTTCTTGTACCTCACAATTTCACCGTTGGTCGCTCTACATACCCATACTCCTATAAATCCCTAACACCATCACTACTACACCCGTATTCTCGCTTCATGCGTATCACATTTACTATCCTCTTTACAAGCATCCTATATCTAGTCTATATCCAGCACGCGAGTAGCCGGCACACGTTCCACATCGTAAGAGCTTCTCTCTCTCTCTCTCCCTTCGTTCAAAGCAGATCACGCGATCCGGAAACGCACCCCGTGGAGGCATGTGAAGAGCACTAGCCACGCGGCGGAGCCGCACATCCGATCACAGAGGGACAATAAAGACATCCACACTTGCGCGGCCGATTTGCAGCCCCTTTTGTTAGACGTGTCCTCAGGAAGGCCGGCGGCAGCGGCTAGGAGCTCTTCAGCCTTGGTCGTGCAGCCCTCAGCACCCCTCTCCCTGGTCTCAACCGGTGTCCAGGCCCTCTGCTGTTCCTCTTTCCTCCTTCTCGAGGTGTCGAGGTCCGTCGTTCTTGGGATAGTACGTTTATCCATGCGTGCTACACGAACACAGTGGGGTCTACTACAGTGGGGTCGTTACAGACCTCCGACACAACTGGGCTACCGGTCCACCCTAGCACACTATCCGGCCAGTCCACACAGGGAGACCCAAATTAGGCTTCTCTCGTTCGATGGTGGAAACCGCACACGACACCAGGGGGTTCGGACACGCGACGCAGGTACGCGGATTACCTTACGGGAGAAGAAACAGCCCGTATCACCCCTCGAGAACATCCTCGCCTACCCCATGCTGGCTAATATGGCGGGAAGGAGCGCT